CATGTGACCCTCTTCCTTACAGAAGTAACACTGTATACTGTAGCGTCCTTTCTGTGCATCATATGGTTGCTTGTTTTGGTCCTTTTTACTATTTCCCTGTGTATCTCTCTTCGTTGCTTTTAAATCATGCATTTCTTCTTCAAGTTTCTTAATAGACTTTTGTAGGGACCCAAGCATGGTTGTCAGATTCTCCATAGCCTTATTCCCTTGACTGGTATCGTGATAAACGTTCTCACCAGAGGCAGACCTAACATACTTCTTTTCGTCCCTTCTGTCCCTTTCCACCTTACAGAACGACTCTATCTCAACTGCTAATCCAACAGCCTCGTTCAAAGTCTTTGGTCTTGACTGCTTAATTCTCAGTCTCATATCGAAATCTGGTAAAGCGTCAATGAAGTGATCCTTAGCCATCATCTCTGCAACATCTCTCGTTACTGTAGGGTACGCCAGATATGTCAATCGTTTGATTCCTTCGCCTAATTCAGGAATTGTCTCTGATGGGCCTAATCTCTTTTCCTTTAGCATTGAGCGATACAACTCCGTTTGGTTTGTCGGAGCAAACCGCGCCTCCAGTGCTGCTGTCAATAGTGTATATTGACCTGGCTCGTCCTTTGACATATTCCCTAGCACTGTCTGTGCATGTCCCCTCAATGATGCAGCAAGATATAACCCTTTTTGTGACTCGGTCCAACGATTGATTTTACTGCATGCCTCAAAATGTGCCTGATAATCCAGCCAGGACCCTGTCCCATCATATGTTGCCGGTTTCATATAATTAGACATTGGCTTCTGCATCGTAGCTAAAGCTTCATCATACATCCCCTGATCCTGGTAATTTGATTTCTTTTGCCGCACAGTAACACGTTCATCGTTGAAATCATGTCCTTCTATCATGGGAATATCATGTGTCACCCTCCTCGGACTATAGCAAGTCTCTCCGTAGTTCTGATCCCTCTCATGTACAATATCCCTGTTTCTTTCACTGCGTCTCTGAGACATACGTCCAATTTCATCAGGAGTACGGGTGTGCATGGGAGTATCATCAAACCTTACTGATGGACGCCGGTCTGTAACATCTCCCCTAGTATCTTTATGACCAACAATATCACTAGAACGCCGTGTAGTTCCTAAACCAGAGTCCCTAGGTCTATCACCTTCTACCTGTTTAACGATACTGGACAAAGGGGTTGATTGTGATTTGAGCCTAATACTATTTTCCCTTAACGTTGCTATTTTCTCCTCCAAATCACTTATCTCGCTGTCCAAGTCATTCATTGTGAACAACTGATCCTATTATTTCAAAGAATGTAAAATTAAACTACCAACACACTATAATGCCTTTATAGATAAATATATAAAACTATCACAACAGTGACTGGATCCCACTACGCTGCCACCAAAATATATGTAACGGATGCGTGCCTACAGTTCGTTACCAAGTTCTTTCTTGGACCCAGTAATTGTTGTAACAAACAAGTGCCGACAATATATACAAAATAACGGCCGTCTTTCTGACTCAAATAACTATTACCTAATCTACACCCGGTAGATATTTTACATTAATATACCTCTAACACTAATATAGTCAAAAAGCCAACTAAAACAACTGTATCACAATATATCCGTCACCCTGTATCAACAGTAAATAGCCCCTTACTGCGACACCCGTGACTGTGTACACCCTTTACCGCGACACACCTTGACCACGTCACCCTTTACCGCGACTGCCGTTTGACCAAGTCACCCTATAGCTAGCCACTATAAAACCTATGCCTTGGTAAACCCTGTGTCTTGGTACCTGACACCCTGTATCAACAGTACGTCGCCCTGTACTGTGATACCCTGTGACTATGCACACTATACTGTAACACAATTTATTTTGACCATGTACTATAAAGGAATACAGTGGAACCCTAGCTTATGCAGCTAGGCCCAAACTTATACAGCTTGGTCACTGATTACCTTTTTAGAGTTGTTCCTTCTTCTTCGACCGCCAGAGCAAGAGAAACTTTTCATCTGATGGAACCTCTATTTATATACCTAGCCATCCAATGAAATGCCTTCTTTCATTAGCCAATCAAAACTACTCTTACTTCCTAATTACAAAGAAATAACTAAAGCAAGTCTATACTAACGATCATTTATTGAACAATGTACTTAACAAAGAATCAACCGCTTCAATTACTTCATTTTCTGTTCAGATAGGAAACATTGTATTTCTTTTTCCTTAATTTTATTTTACAAACCTGTTAAGTCCCTACCCGCTACTTGGCCTTCACGTGACATTTAAAATCATGTTTTACGTGCAGTTCCTACCAACTATTTAGCCTTTACTTGACCTTAACAATCCTGTTGTACGTGTAGTCTCTACCCACTACACTATTTGGCCTTCACTTGACCTTAACAATCCTGTTTTACGTGTAGTCCCTACCCACTTCTTAGCCTTCACTTGACCTTTACAATCCTGTTTTACGTGTAGTCTCTACCCACTACACTATTTGACCTTCACTTGACCTTAACAGTTCTGTTTTACGTGTAGTCCCTACCCACTACTTGGCCTCCGCGTGACATTTACAATCCTGTTTTACGTGTAGTCTCTACCCACTATTTGGCCTTCACGTGACATTTACAATCCTGTTTTACGTGTAGTCCCTATCCACTACTTGGCCTTCACTTGACCTTTACAATCCTGTTTTACGTGTAGTCCCTACCCACTATTTGACCTTCACTTGACCTTAACAGTTCTGTTTTACGTGTAGTCCATATCCACTACTTGGCCTCCGCGTGACATTTACAATCCTGTTTTACGTGTAGTCTCTACCCACTATTTGGCCTTCACGTGACATTTACAGTTCTGTTTTACGTGTAGTCCCTATCCACTACTTGGCCTTCACTTGACCTTTACAATCCTGTTTTACGTGTAGTCCCTACCCACTATTTGACCTTCACTTGACCTTTAAAATCCTGTTTTACGTGTAGTCCCTGCCCACTATTTGACCTTCACTTGACCTTTACAGTCCTGTTTTACGTGTAGTCCCTACCCACTATTTGACCTTCACTTGACCTTTACAGTTCTGTTTTACGTGTAGTCCCTATCCACTACTTGGCCTCCACGTGACATTTACAATCCTGTTTTACGTGTAGTCCCTACCCACTACTTGTCCTTCACGTGACATTTACAGTTCTGTTTTACGTGTAGTCCCTACCCACTATTTGGCCTTCACGTGACATTTACAATCCTGTTTTACGTGTAGTCCCTACCCACTACTTGGTCTTCACTTGACCTTTACAGTTCTGTTTTACGTATAGTCCCTACCCACTATTTGGCCTTCATGTGACCTTTACAATCCTGTTTTACGTGTAGTCCCTACCCACTATTTGGCCTTCACTTGACCTTTACAATCCTGTTTTACGTGTATTCCCTACCCACTATTTGGCCTTCACGTGACATTTACAGTTCTGTTTTACGTGTAGTCCCTACCCACTATTTGGCCTACACTTGACCTTTACAATCCTGTTTTACGTGTAGTCCCTACCTACTACTTGGCCTTCACTTGACTTTTTCAATCCTGTTTTACGTGAAGTCCCTACCCACTATTTGGCCTTCACTTGACCTTTACAATCTATATTATACTCGTATTTACTACTTGACATTCTGTTGCAGCTTAACATCTGCTTAAAGTTTGTCAATATTTGTAAATGTAAAGCAATGGAAAATATACCTACGAACTTCCTTGAACGTATGTCATGAATCGTTAGTTGTTTTATGAGTTAAGCTGCAGTAAACGTTTTCGAAACTCACATGGGGTAATAAAGCTGGTCGGTACTTTATGGTCTCACATGCACAAGCGACATTTCAATCAGTGGTCGAGAGTGGTCACATGACTCTCTGTCCGATGGCTGTCCACCTTACAATGCTGTAAAACGTCTGTGACCATGACTTTCAGTCATGTGCCATTTTTCCCTCTGGGTCTTTAAATATCTGGTTATTGGCAGTGTAATTGTTATTGCAGCCGTTCATGGCTTCGTTTTGAATTGTTCAGCTTAAACGCATCTATTTGCCGTTGAAAGCAGTCGTCAGTAATACTCATTAACATAACTGACAATGAGTCAATGTTCTCTAAACCACGACGCCACTAAGCTTTATCATTTGTCTGTTTTGAAACGGCTGTATGATGCAGTGTCATTCAGTGTTGGCAAGCTGTACGTATTGCCGAATTGTCAAGGTGCAGTCACCTGTGTGTAATTGTTACGTTTATCGTTATTCGCAAAACAACGCTACTTCACAATTTCAAGTAGGATGAAGTTCAATGATTAAGTTCATCTAGTGATGAATTCATGTAGTGTTGATTCAACATCTGTTAAGCATTTCATTTAGTTTGTCTCAGGATCTACACTCGATGAACTTTATCGTGAAAAAATAAATCTTTAATTGATTTTCACTGCTAACATTTTCGTTTATTTCCGTCTTTCGAATTTAGAAAGTCAGTGTTTATACATATTTAGTGTGTCATTTGATAAAACAAATACAAATTCCTTAAAAAAGACCAAGAGACTACCAAGTATCAACAATAGCCATAATTCGAACCCAAAATTGACCAAACTAGGGCAACATATGAACAAAGGAAATATTTACATAGAGACCCTTGCAAAAGAACAAGGATAATAAGACCAGCTGTTCCGGAAGGTCAGCGCCTTTTGCTCCATCGACGACAGTCGCCATGTGGTTTAGGTCAAATCCAATGCCACGTCCTCACATTGAGAACTCGGGTAATGACAACAAAATCAGTCTAATGAGCTTAATAAAAAATATTGACTTCATATAAAACAAAGATACAGCATATTTCTGTATCAGATCATGATGGCGACCATTAAGCTTTTCCTTTGTCTGAATCAACCAGCATATTTGGAAACCATTTATTGTAACATGTTACAATCGAATCAATTCACGTGTTTATAAAATATTTCCACTACTGATACAGTAATAATCTCATTGACAGGGTTGTATTACGGCATTACCATTGCCATCGTCTCCTTCGCCACTGCCATGAATGTGTTCACGTTGAACATCCACCACAAGGGTTCCCGAGGGTTTGAGGTTCCCGTGTTACTCAAGAAAGTTTGTTTTGGCATCTTTGCTCGGATGTTGTTCATCAAGCTGGACCTACCGGAGCCACCGCCGGAACCTGGCATGGTACAAACATATATATATATATACATGATTGAGAGTCAATAGTTATATCAGGGCATTAGTAAAATCAAAGATTTGTCATATATTTGTGGCTTAGTTTGGGGAGAAATATGTATTTTTGTAACGATGTTTTTTGTTTGTGAATGTGATTGTAATGCATGAGTATGAGTTATGACTGTTTTCATACAATTAAAATGGACATTAATCACGATATCACAATAAAAAAACGTATTATCATGCAAGTATAAGCCAGGTATTGGTGATATTAGCTGTAATGTATGATGATTCCGTCAAGTATTGGAGATATTAGCTGTAATGTATGATGATTCCGTGAAGTATTAGTGATATTAGCTGTAATGTATGATGATTCCGTCAAGGATTGGTGATATTAGCTGTAATGTATGATGATTCCTTCAAGTATTGGTGATATTAGCTGTAATGTATGGGGATTCCGTCAAGTATTGGTGATAGTAGCTGTAATGTATGATGATTCCGTGAAGTATTAGTGATATTAGCTGTAATGTATGATGATACCGTCAAGTATTGGTGATATTAGATGTAATGTATGATGATTCCGTCAAGAATTGGTCGTATAAGATGTAATGTATGATGATTCCGTCAAGTATTGGGGATATTAGCTGTAATGTATGGTGATTCCGTCAAGTATTGGTGAGTATGATGATTCCGTCAAGTATTGGTCGTATAAGCTGTAATGTATGATGATTCCGTCAAGTATTGGGGATATTAGCTGTAATGTATGATGATTCCGTCAAGGATTGGTGATATTAGCTGTAATGTATGATGATTCAGTCAAGTATTGGTGATATTAGCTGTAATGTATGGTGATTCCGTCAAGTATTGGTGATATTAGCTGTAATATATGATGATTCCGTCAAATATTGGTGATATTAGCTGTGATGTATGATGATTCCGTCAAGTATTGGTGATATCAGCTGTAATGTATGATGATTCCGTCAAGTATCGGTGATATTAGCTGTAATGTATGATGATTCCGTCCAGTATTGGTGATATTAGCTGTAATGTATGATTATTCCGTCAAGTATTGGTCATATTAGCTGTAATGTATGATGATTCCTTCAAGTAATGGTGATATTAGCTGTAATGTATGATGATTCAGTCAAGTATTGGTGATATTAGCTGTAATGTATGATTATTCCGTCAAGTATTGGTCATATTAGCTGTAATGTATGATGATTCCTTCAAGTATTGGTGATATTAGCTGTAATGTATGGGGATTCCGTCAAGTATTGGTGATAGTAGCTGTAATGTATGATGATTCCGTGAAGTATTGGTCATATTAACTGTAATGTATGATGATTCCGTCAAGTATTGGTGATATCAGCTGTAATGTATGATGATTCCGTCAAGTATTGGGGATATTAGCTGTAATGTATGATGATTCCGTCAAGTATTAGTGATATTAGCTGTAATGTATGATGATTCCGTGAAGTATTAGTGATATTAGCTGTAATGTATGATGATACCGTCAAGTATTGGTGATATTAGATGTAATGTATGATGATTCCGTCAAGAATTGGTCGTATAAGATGTAATGTATGATGATTCCGTCAAGTATTGGGGATATTAGCTGTAATGTATGGTGATTCCGTCAAGTATTGGAGATATTAGCTGTAATGTATGATGATTCCGTCAAGGATTGGTGATATTAGCTGTAATGTATGATGATTCAGTCAAGTATTGGTGATATTAGCTGTAATGTATGGTGATTCCTTCAAGTATTGGTGATATTAGCTGTAATGTATGGGGATTCCGTCAAGTATTGGTGATAGTAGCTGTAATGTATGATGATTCCGTGAAGTATTAGTGATATTAGCTGTAATGTATGATGATACCGTCAAGTATTGGTGATATTAGCTGTAATGTATGATGATTCCGTGAAGTATTAGTGATATTAGCTGTAATGTATGATGATACCGTCAAGTATTGGTGATATTAGCTGTAATGTATGATGATTCCGTCAAGAATTGGTCGTATAAGCTGGAATGTATGATGATTCCGTCAAGAATTGGTCGTATAAGCTGGAATGTATGATGATTCCGTCAAGAATTGGTCGTATAAGCTGTAATGTATGATGATTCCGTCAAGTATCGGTGATATTAGCTGTAATGTATGATGATACCGTCAAGTATTGGTGATATTAGCTGTAATATATGATGATTCCGTCAAATATTGGTGATATTAGCTGTGATGTATGATGATTCCGTCAAGTATTGTGATATTAGCTGTAATGTATGGTGATTCCTTCAAGTATTGGTGATATTAGCTGTAATGTATGGTGATTCCGTCAAATTTTGGTCATATTAGCTGTAATGTATGATGATTCCTTCAAGTATTAGTGATATTAGCTGTAAGGTATGATGATTCCGTCAAGTATTGGTGATATTCGATGTCTTCTTCCACTTAAGTATGGTCATACTTTATTTCATTATCATAATTGCAAGTTCTAATTTGTTTACAGGAGAAAGTTCCACAAGGAGAATACTACAAATTTGACAAATTCGAAACAGAAGTTCCACCTGAAAATGGTGGGGTTTCACCACGGTTCACCAGACGCTTGAACGTAGCAAACAGCGACTATTGTGAACGACAGTTTGTGCGGGTATTGCAAAAAGTGAATTGGACTATTGAACGGAATGAGATGCGTTTAGCGGACCAAGATCGGAAAGATTTCATAAAACTTGAGTGGCAGCAGGTGGCGCTAGTGATAGATCGGACATTGCTGGTTTGCTTCCTTATCCTCATGTTCGCTGTGACGCTTTCCATCCTGGTCCCGCCTGACGATGGACTCGGGGGTCTTAGGGGTAACTGAGTGTAAAGCATATTACATGACAATGCATATATATGTATGTATGTATAATTTCCCGTATGAATTCATTTCCATCAATTTTTTTCTTTCAGTCGATATAGTGTTCGATAGAGTGTATAACCCCATTTCAAAGTATGAAACGGAAGTATGCGCATGCGTGTACGACATTTCAACGCCTGGACGTCGGAAACAACATTGTGGTATTATTCCCAACTTGAATACTGCAGCGTAAGACAAACACTTTACCCGAAAACACAACCCGTCACTTACGAAAGCCGAGTATTCAACAAACAGCAGCAAACAGTCTGCCAACCGTACTATGGACACTTAGAGCATTAAATTATTTCAAAAAGCTTTTGGAAAGCCATCTCTTGAAAAACGTTTTCGAAAACCCTATCACGTCTTGGTAACCGCGTTCAAACTAGACACTCCCAAATAAGCTATATCGTCATAATTGGGATGGCGTTTAGAAAATCATAGCTCTAACCTGGCTGATACCGGGCTATAATATTGGTGTACCGAGTACGCTAGTTATATATCACTGGTTGTGTATGGAAGTCCAGTGATCATTATCACATAGCGATCGATCGATGAACAAAGTCGTTCCATTTGGGTCTATTTGCAAAATTCTAATATAATAGAGCAGCATCATGGACACAAAAAAACAAAACTTATCCAACAGCTGGTCCTCGTCCTGTCATAACAGTGACATTTGTTTTAAAACTGTCGAATCCCACACCTGAGCCATATTCAGAAACCGTCCCCACAATTAAAGTTATCAACGCATTTGTCTTGTAGCTCGTCGAGGCATGGTACTGGTACTCAACTTGAATACATTAAAATAAAACAAGATTTGTTTTTCTCTCTCTCTCGTTTGAATACAGAATTGAGCTAACAGTTATATTTTATTCGTAATTAGTCCAATCAAAATTACCCATCGGTATATTCAACTCTACTCCAACTGGCTATTATGGTTTCCGTGTGATCTGGTAAAGCAGCTTCTGCTTCAGATTTTACACGTAAATAAGCGTTAGCATGCTAACTGTACACTATATAATAGTCGATATCATTACGGCAGGCCTTCATTAAGAAAGATTGAAATGCCAAATCATTTCGTTACTAAATTTACTGAATAGTTTACTGGAGTTATCACTGGAACATTTAATAATTGTACAATTAGTGCTAATATGTATTTGTTATCATTACAAAACAGGTAATGCTCTGCCGTAAGAGTAGCATTTACGTGTGATGTATCTAGACGCTAACGGATTTTTATACAGATAACTCATCTATCACACGTTAAATTATTCCACTCCAAATGTTGTTCATCTCTTTGCCAATGTCAACTTGTAAATGTAAAATCGATAAGCTTTCACAACAAACAGGTTTAATAGGTGTGGGTAGTTTAGTGCTACAGTAATGCAATACGTACTTGATTACTTACCAGCCGAAAAACATCGCTCTTCAACGCCGACATCATTTAATGTGTTATTGTGCTGTGTAAGATGTCGCTTGTATGTAGCTACTAATTATGGTTTGTTTATTTTCCCGTGTATATTGCCTGTGTAAAATGAGTTTCCCGACGCGACAAAACAAGAGGATGCTAATTCCCGGTAATTACCGTGAATGTGTAGACCGTATGGAAAGGCCATAGAGTCGGCCTCAATATGACGGTAAACACCTTACTATCAACACCAATGTATACGTGGTCAGTGGAGCGAAACTAACGTGAGTAGCAGTAATGTTGACGTTGTCTTCTACAAGTATTGTGTGAGCATTGAAACGCGTATAAACATGTTAACGTCCATACACAAAGTAGTGCGTAAACGCGTATAAACAATTTAATGGCCATACACAAAGTAGAAAGTCCGCTAAAACACCGAAGAAATGCAACTGTATGTACTCCACGGAAACACATGCAAAGGACATCGTTTTTGGCAACCTCTTTTTGAGTACGAAAAGGCGGAGATTGCTGCTGCTAACAGATTACAAAACCTAGGTTTAATGAACTTCATACAAAAATAGAAGATATATATTTTTGTATGTCAGCAATATTTTCCATAGAACTTATTACGTTGTAAAATTGCAAACTTTGAGAATGTACAGTGCCAGTGGGTAATAATGGCATCTCCGCTGTATCCCCAGGCCTATAATAAACCGGGCACCAGGATATATGAAGACTATGATGTTGCATTTTGTCTTAAGCGTAAAAAAGAGTTTCAATTCAATATACGAAACACAATTAATAGGAGTCGTAAAGCAGCATGTCTGCTATTTTAAGCAAAAGAAGTGTCTAATTAGGAATGTTAATCTTTTTCCTTACCATTAATTCTTTCGTATTTTTTGTGTTAAAGGATTTATTTACTTTTTCAATTAGTAGAATATGCATATATGTAGCTTTTGAAAGTTGGGGCTTTTTGTATTAGATACAAAGTGACTCCGCACTGACGGTGTGTGAAGATTTTTACTGGCCTAGCGGGAATGTGTTGAATTATACTTAGTAATTATGATTCCTAGCAGATATAAATCAAACACGGATACATGTACAACTGGAGACTTCTCGTCTTTACGATATGTAGGCAAAGACTCCACACAAAAAAATTGTTTACAAAACAAACGAGAAATTTTAGTGTTTTACTTTCATGGTTTTTGCTAAATGATTTACCACCAAGCTACAAATGAGATGTTATAATTGTTTCGCTACATTGATGTATATGTTGTTGTTCCCTGCTGTGACTTATGTTTTTTCGGTTCCAGTTTTTGCTTTGTCATAACTAGAGCGTATTCCTTGCCGCCAGATTGATACAAGTTACATTGTTAGAAGTGCAGAGTACCACGTGGGTAGTAGCAAGTGGAGAGTACCACGTAGGTAGTAGCAAGTGGAGAGTACCACGAAGGTAGTAACAAATGGAGAGTACCACGTAGCTAGTAACAAATGGAGAGTACCACGTAAGTATTAACCAATGGAGAGTACCACGTGGGTAGTAACAAATGGAGAGAACCACGTGGGTAGTAACAAGTGGAAAGTACCACGTGGGTAGTAACAAATAGAGAGTACCACGTAAGTATTAACAAGTGGAGAGTACCACGTGGGTAGTAGCAAGTGGAGAGTCCCACGTAGGTAGTAGCAAGTGGAGAGTACCACGTAGGTAGTAGCAAGTGGAGAGTACCACGTAGGTAGTAGCAAGTGCAGAGTACCACGAAGGTAGTAACAAATGGAGAGTACCACGTAGCTAGTAACAAATGGAGAGAACCACGTAAGTATTAACAAATGGAGAGTACCACGTGTGTATTAACAAATGGAGAGTCCCACGTGGGTAGTAACAAATGGAGAGTACCACGTGGGGAGTAACAAGTGGAGAGTACCACGTGGGTAGTAACAAATGGAGAGAACCACGTGGGTAGTAACAAATAGAGAGTACCACGTAAGTATTAACAAGTGGAGAGTACCACGTGGGTAGTAGCAAGTGGAGAGTACCACGTAGGTAGTAGCAAGTGCAGAGTACCACGAAGGTAGTAACAAATGGAGAGTACCACGCAGCTAGTAACAAATGGAGAGTACCACGTAAGTATTAACCAATGGAGAGTACCACGTGGGTAGTAACAAATGGAGAGAACCACGTGGGTAGTAACAAATAGAGAGTACCACGTAAGTATTAACTAATGGAGAGTACCACGTGGGTAGTAACAAATGGAGAGTACCACGTGGGTAGTAACAAGTGGAAAGTACCACGTGGGTAGTAACAAGCGGAGAGTATCACGTAGGTAGTAACAAGTGGAGAGTACCACGTGGGTAGTAACAAATGGAGAGTACCACGTGGGTAGTAGCAAATGGAGAGTACCACGTAAGTATTAACAAATGGAGAGAACCACGTGGGTAGTAACAAATGGAGAGAACCACGTGGGTAGTAACAAATAGAGAGTACCACGTAAGTATTAACAAATGGAGAGTACAACGTGGGTAGTAAAAAATGGAGAGTACCACGTGGGTAGTAACTAGTGGAGAGTACCACGTGGGTAGTAGCAAATGGAGAGTACCACGTAAGTATTAACCAATGGAGAGTACCACGTGGGTAGTAACAAATGGAGAGTACCACGTAGGTAGTAACAAGTGGAGCGTACCACGTAGGTAGTAACAAGTGGAGAGTACCACGTGGGTAGTAACAAGTGGAGAGTTCCACGTGGGTAGTAACAAGTGGGATATAACAAAACCTACGAGGTTACATATAATTGGCATTCGTTACGAAATTACAAATAGTACACTTATATGCAGTGAACATGTTACTTTTGTGATGGGACATAGCACCAAATGCGAGACAACGTTTTTTTTTATATTTGATAATAACGCCACGGACAAACAATAGTTTACTGAAATGATGAAATGTATTAATTCTTATTGTTTACGATGTCAAAAACAAAACCTGCTCAATGATTGGTCAACGTACTGTTAGAGTCGATGATGAAAGTGTTATCATTCACACAGCTTAATGCAATAAGGATACGTCGATCGAGATATTTCAAGTGATGAATGTTACGCGCTTAATTAGTTATGAGTAATTTGATTGATAACAAGTTTAATGTCGAGTCGATCAGAATACTTGTTACTGACTTATGAAGCTCGGATGTAGGACGATATGTTCTTTACCCGACATTCACCTCTCGAGATGAATCGGGTACAAGATAAATCATATATGTTAATTTGAAACGATTATGAATTAATTTGAGTAATTATTTATCCTCGTAGTTATTAAATACGTAAATATTCATGTAATCGAGGATTTCACAGAAGAAACTTTAAATAGCCTTTCTATAAATTCAATCATCTGTAGTTAGACGAACTTGCCATTTGACAAAATATAAGGTGGACTAATCTTTATTTTTATAACTAAACCGTACCTTTATTACAATATCACTGTATACAGCATTAAATAAACAGGAGTTCATGTTAATATACTTAACATGTTAACCAATAATGATATCTTCTGTGCATTTCAGTTTTATTTCAATCATACATTAGATATTGTCACCACCGACAGAAAAATATTCACTTGAAATAAAAAAATAAATAAAAAAGACATTCATGAAAAACAAACTAGTTGAGTAGTTCATGATATTCATATCATACACACATCAAACCGTCATAGTATGTTATATAGCGCACAATATATAGACATGTATTAATGATGCTTTCCGAATCGTTATTATCTAATATAATATAAAGATACACTTCGGATGAATAAGACTTTAAATAAATTGTCATTGCATTATGAGTTTATGAATTTATCCAATGTAGCTACGCACATCTGGTATAGAAAATCACTGATCATTGGTCATATAATGACAATTATTGCACATTCGGTTTTTTAGTGTTTAACATGAATTCGTCACAGGTAACGCTGTATATAAAAAATGGCGTTCCAATAAAATGAAATTAAAATAATGACATGATACTGTTTTTTCCGTTCTTAGACACACATTTTTGTTTTATATAAAATAATTATATGTATTTTGTTTTACTAAATTATCAATGCATTTTACCTTATAGCATTAAAGTCCCAGGATAGGTGTGTTTGTAAGTTATTTTATTAGAACTGATGCAATAAAGATGTAACTTAAAACTGCAGTGAAAAGTAAGATTTGACATGTCAGCCATTCTGCATCGGTAATTGTGCCCTTTCCACAGATGATAATAAGAGGTAGAAACCTACAACATTTGTATGTTGAAGATCCGTTATGACTAATGGAAATGTGTATTAAAGCGATTCGCTCCTGTATTATTACTATGTATTTAGACTAAATTACGTCCAGTGAATAGATAACTACAAGTGTTACAACACAGTAAACTCTGCTCGTGTTACTATGACTGGGTAACCTTCTCGCTGCATATAAACAATATTGATCATCAGTACTTTTACACAGACTGGGTAGTTCACAGGCGAATTAAACTTGCTTTTCCAATATCTAACAAAACGTGTACCAGTGTAAAATTCATGACAACACTAACATTTTGTACATATTCTCTTGTTTGATTACTTTAGTATAGAAAATCATTTTAAATGTTGCATGGATACCATTGAATGGTTATTTTATCCTGTAGTTTTGTTTGCGTCATGGTTGTGGGGTGAAATAGCATTGATATAGATACACATACAGTGTCATACTACTTATAACTCTACTGAGGGTGTCGCATCATTGATTTTATATTATCTTAACCTTATATTTTATCACTTATTATACTCACTATGAAGCAGACTAGCAACACCTGCCCAGTTATTCACAGCCAGGCCATTCTGGACAACTGTTCATGCCAGGTTTACTTTAGGGATACAAGTACAGGTATATCACATTGAAATCTGTCATACTTCTTTTTCGAATTTCTGATTTCAACAAATTTTATTGGACAAAAAATATATGAACAATTGGATGAGACAACAGGCTTTGTCTATATAAGTCTTCCCCTTACCGGTATAGATGGACAGAAAGCATACATTTAATACTATTGATATTTAATATTCCATTCTTTTTCGGATGAGGACACCGTCCGGTAATTGACACACGTACACATGTATTTAAGTTCATGTAACACATACGAGATCTGTCGAACTCGTACCGTTTCAGTGACTAGTGCGATATGCACTCGATTGTATTTGACAAATAGAATTGTTGCTTTGTATAATAACTGGCCATTTTTTAGAGATGAGGGTTTAAGAGTTGCCGTAACTTTATCAGTTGGTAAACTTGGCCAATGAGTTGATATGAGATATACTATTTCAGTTTTACAGACTTAAGATATAATCAACTCTTGATTTAGGTAACTATTGCGATGTGTAGAGTTATCGTACATTCAATTCAATTCAAATGTTTTTATTGTTTCAAAAGAAATGGTAAGTTTATAAGCATAGCCTATATACATATTTTCCCAGTGGTTATGGTACACTGGTAGAGCCAGGATCACATGTCAGATACATTTGACTTATCTAATATTTTGATTGGGCTACATCAACTTAATTACTAATTCATATATTCACCCACCTGACGCCCGATAATCCAAGATTGTTTTTATCGACCAACAACTATGATAAAAATCGTAGGCATGAAAGGTGAGGTAGCAAAAAGCCTTAAACCTTGTTTTACACTAAAGATATGGATAGATAGTAAAGGCATAGCACAGACGTGCACCATCCTGCTCGAATGATACGTATCAGAAAAACGTTATGAGGAATTTAGAACAAACAACGGCAGTGTTGAAGTTCAGGATTTCCATGTGAAACTAGATCTCTTAAAGGTTCAATAACAGATTTTTCACGAATATTCAACTTTGTATACTTTGTATACTTATGTAAATGAAGCTTGGATACTGACTATATAGAATGCCTTCTATATTAGTCTGCAATGTAACATCCACTAGAACAAGTGTGTCGTGAAGATACAAGCGCTGTGAATAACTGGTCTTTACTTATTATAGATTATGAATCCTGAGAAACAGACATATCCCAGCACACCATGACTTCGTCAAAGTTTTGGTCCCTTTTATTTGTCATGCATTATTGAATATGTGTAAGTAGACACAACAAGAATGTATCAAGTATATATGAGTGTTTGATGTATATACTTATTACACTTCCATTGCAAGTCACTTAATAAATACTACAAGAAGAAATCGCGGTGATAGGGATGGGATGAGCGTCATTTCGACGCTTCTTCTCATGCCTTGGATAACATGAGGCGATCGTAAGAAGCAAACATTTGAATGACGTTAGGTTGTTCCAGGTATTTGCACTGATGATCACAGAAACATCTGCAGACAATAGGGGATAATCGTATTTAGAATGGTAATAACTATATATTCATAATGTATTGAATGGCATTTTGCAATGGACATGTTTTTTTAAAACACAAGGAGATATAGGTTACATGTTATTTACGATTAAGATGTAGCGTGAACATCAAAAACTGGCATTCAATCCCTGAGTAAATATAAGGCCAACAGTAAAGTAAGGGAAGAAAGGCTGGCAAACGTGACGCTATACATGTTTAATGAGAACAACATCGAAGAATGGGGTCTGATTTCTCGATGTAAACAGCCACATTATGTACATAATATGTTTGTTAATCAAACTATGGAGCGAGTTATACAATAAAGGTTTTCTATGATATTTGTCTTTGTGTCGTATTTAATGCTGTTAATTACTGTTAATGATCGATAAACAATGTTTACTACAAGTAGTTACTTAGCTAATAACTGCTAATCAATGTTAATACATAACAGTTAATCACTGTTAATACATAACAGCTTATCACCGTTAATACATAACAGCTTATCACTGTTAATACATAACAGCTTATCACTGTTAATACATAACAGCTAATCACTGTTAATAGATAACATAACAGCTAATCACTGTTAATACAAAACAGCTAATCACTGTTAATACATAACATAACAGCGAATCACTGTCAATACATAACATAACAGCTAATCACTGTTAATACATAACAGCTAATCACTGTTAATACATAACAGCTTATCACTGTTAATGCATAACAGCTAATCACTGTTAATACATAACAGATAATCACTGTTAATACAAAACAGCTTATCACCGTTAATACATAACAGCTAATCACCGTTAATACATAACAGCTAATAACTGTTAATACATAACAGCTGATCACTTTTAATACATAACAGCTTATCACTGTTAATACATAACAGCTTATCACTGTTATGTATTAACAGTGATAAGCTGTTATGTATTAACAGTGATTAGCTGTTATGTTATGTATTGACAGTGATTCGCTGTTATGTTATGTATTAACAGTGATTAGCTGTTATGTTATGTATTAACAGGGATTAGCTGTTATGTATTAACAGTGATAAGCTGTTATGTATTAAAAGTGATCAGCTGTTATGTATTAACAGTTATTATCTGTTATGTATTAACGGTGATTAGCTGTTATGTATTAACGGTGATTAGCTGTTATGTATTAACGGTGATAAGCTGTTATGTATTAACAGTGATTAGCTGTTATGTTATGTATTAACAGGGATTCGCTGTTATGTTATGTATTGACAGTGATCAGCTGATATGTTATGTATTGACAGTGATTCGCTGTTATGTTATGTATTAACAGCGAATCACTGTTAATACATAACATAACAGCGACTCACTGTTAATGCATAACATAACAGCGAATCACTGTTAATACATAACATAACAGCGAATCACTGTTAATGCATAACATAACAGCGAATCACTGTCAATACATAACATAGCAGCTGATCACTGTCAATACATAACATAACAGCGAATCACTGTTAATACATAACATAACAGCTAATCACTGTTAATACATAACATAACAGCTAATCACTGTCAATATGACATAACAAAACAGCTAATCGCTGTCAATACATAACATAACAGCTGATCACTGACAATACATAACAGCTTATCACTGTCAATACATAACATAACAGCGAATCACTGTTAATACATTACAGCTAATAACTGGTCATCTCTGTTAGTTACCTGGCTTATTACAGTTATACATCGGCTAATTGCTAAGTACTGCTGATCACTATTTTGTATTCCACGAAATAAATATGTTCTAATTATTTCGTATGAAGCGTTGATCTTAAAATAACAGGAAGGATTTCGTTAACATTTATAGATGGTCTCACACTCATTAACGAAATCTTAATTTTAATGGGTTTTTTTTTCTAGTTTATGGTTTGTAGCAGTACTATCAGGATTTTCCTCTTTAGGAATTATCTGTAAGTGATCCGTCACGTTTAAGTGAGGTATTTATCAGTCAGTTTTAGTATAACTTGACCAAGTGTTATTGTATACAGTTAATTAATCTACCAAGTTATATTCTACACACATTTAAGGTAACTGTTGAATCAGATGTATTTTCCTGAAAAAGAAAAAGAAAAAATATTTATCGGACATTCCAAACGATTATCCTCACTAAAATATTGAGGTTGTACACATTTTTCAACAGATAGATTTGAAAAGAGTACCCACAACATTGTAAAAGGTCATTTAGCTGATATATTTAGATGTAACGTTTTCATGTTGCCTCAGGCGTGACAGGCGTCAAAACCATACACGGAATCAGATTAGTTCATACTTTAATAGTTATCAGCATTAATTTTAAAAAAAAGATGTTATTCGAAACCATAATAAGCAAAAATACTATTTGTTTAATGTTAATTTAGTACCCCTTGTATTAATTTGAAAATATGAATTGGTCATTAAATATATCACCACATTTGATTTTATCATAGCCAGACATATTGTCTTTGAATTCAGGAACAAATATAAACCAATAATACATGCACGACAAATATATGTATGTCGTCGATGATGACATGGCACCATAGGTCCATTGACCGAGGGGAGGTTGACACGATATCAAAAATGGTGGGTTCTGTAAGCAATATTCATGTTGCAATAATATATTGTATTCATATAAATTCAGTGCATTTAAAATCATATTTATTGTATAAATAGGCAAAGGGAGCATCAGTTCAGCAAGCACTTGGCTTCAATAGAGTGAAAAATAATGTAAGCATGTATATATATATATATTATAAACATGTTAGGTCAAAGGTCAAAGCTTATGTCACAGTGACCTACTTTTTGTACTCAGCTCTCCACCATCACAAAATGTATATAATTTTAATGGCATTTATATGTATTTCATGCATCCACCGAGATAGCCTTTGGAAGATAGTAAGATCATATGGCATTCCTCAAAAGCTGATTGACCTGATTAAAACCTTTTACCACAATTTCAACTGCCGAGTAAGATCCAGCGATGTGTATTTTCCGGTAAGGACTGGAGTCCATCAAGGGTGCGTTATGTCATCTACCCTCTTCATCATTGCAATAGATTGGGTCATGCGAAGAACAACAGCAGTCAAAAACAGAGGCATTAGATGGGGCGCATTCACAACACTTGAAGACATCCTTTCACACAAACATCAACACATTCAAGAAAAGACCAATCTCCTTTAAGAATATGCTGGACAAATAGGTTTAAAAATCAACAAAAAGAAAACAGAAGTTATGACATTAAACATCACCAATCCAACACCAGTCATAATAAACGGACAACCCCTCCCGACAACAGACACTTTCACTTACCTAGGCAGCAAAGTTAGCAGAGATGGAGGCACCGACAAAGACATAAAACAGAGACTTTCGAAAGCCAGAGCAGCATTCAACAACTTGCAACCAGTATGGCGATCCGGACAATACACCATACGGCTGCATACTTCCAATCCTTCTGTATGGTTCAGAATGTTGGAGAATGACAGAGCTAGACCAATTAAAGCTGTCAACATTCCATACAAAGAGCTTGAGAAGGATCTTTAAAATATTTTGGCCACTAAAGATCTCAATCAAGGACCTTCTCAACAGATACAACCACAAAAAACATGTCAGCTATCCTTAGAGATAGACGTTGGAAATGGATTGGTCATGTTCTTCGAAAGAACCCTACCAACATCACTGAAACAGCTCTTTTTTGGACACCTGAGGGAAAACGAAAACGAGGAAGACCCAAGATAACGTGGAGAGGACCGTCAATGCCGAGCTAGACGAATTACATCAGACATGGAGATCAATACAGAAGCTAGCCAACGACAGACAGTTGTGGAGGAATTTCGTTGCTGCCCCACACGCCACTGGGCGTAATGGGCAGTAAGTAAGTCAGTAATATGTATTTCATATGCAGATTGCTTTGTATGGAATACAAAGCAATCTGCATTTGGATATATTGGTTCAATCATAGCATTATTTCTGTAAATATTTCATAACTGTTCTTAACTGCCAAACGATAAGTCCAAACACTACTGCAATATGTTTGCCATTTCAAAATCATATTCCAATACATATATTGCTTAACAAATATTGCAACCTAATGGTATTGCAATATCATTGCCCATACCTAGTATTACACAGAACAAAGAAATACAATATATCAGATAGTTGTTTATTATATAAATTATAGTGGACCGTAACACATAAAAATAATTATGAGACAAAAAAAAACAAACATTGATTGAAATAATGTATATCAAATTAACACCCTCTCACAACTGTTACACGTCTCTCATCTGTTGTTAAACAGGGACGTAGACCTGATAGGTTTGTACCCATTGTTCGCTGCACACTGTCAGATATGGGGTACGTGTAGTTCAGCTTCTAACACACTTTACTTACCATGTATATCAATCTTCTTTACCAGAATTTCAAACATATCACTTTAACTGTCGCATTACTTTAACTGTCGCAGAATCCATACAAAATAGTCAAGAACACCATTACGTCAAACTCGGGGACCTAACTAGGAGCACAGGTCATGTACATGTTTTACCATTATCTCTTATATTCAATCGCATCTCTGCTGTTTAAATTCAAATATAGATAAGAAATAAAATGTGCAAAAGTTTATACTTATATATCTATTTAGGGATTGGTTTTGTTTGTATGTGTCGACCAGTGTGTACAAGTTCCAGATCAAATGTAAATAATTAAAAGTTAGACATACTTAATGAAATCAGACCTATAGATTTGCCTTCAGTTTGTTCTATAAACTAGATGTGCTTTTATTCTTGTAAACGGAATCTCAAGATATATTGCGAACGGGAGTTCTAGTTTATTTCCAAGAGCCAGATTCACTGCTAGAGGGCAGCAATGTCACATTAACTAATTCAAATTTACGCGAATAAAGTATGCAAATTTTAGTCGCGATATCTAACGTGTTTACAGCCGCCACCTAGTGGTGAGGTAATAAACGTACGTTGATAAATGTCTGAGACACTTTGCAGCACGAGGCAGTTAATTACCTTCTCAGTATACACAAAACCGCGGGTCCTTTTCACTCTAGATTGCAAATTGTTGCCGAGTTGAGTGAATCCTGCCATTGATTGGTGGCATAAAATCCTCACTCATCACTCGCACTGTTCCTCATCCCAACCGTAAAGTCCTATCAATGTATTACAGTGTATAGGGTGTTGTAGCTGGTTACCGTACTGGCCTTCCTGCGGACTGCACAAAGGAGCTAATGGTTCATATTGTGCGAGTTTGAAACTAGATTAGACACGAGGATATGTTCGTCACACACAATTAAAGAAACCATGAAAATTCGCCCATCAACTTTTTCATAATTCGTTCAGCGCCTTTGACGACTCGTCAAATGAGCGTGTTTAGAGTAGAGGAGCATTAAACTTTAAAATGGAAAACAGCATGCAGTTAACTGTAGCATTGTTCACGGCAGCCATCAGCATTTAGGCTTCAGTTGGGAACAATGGTAAGGCCACTAGGGAATACATCTGAACTGTTATACGCATGTCCAGTCCGGCTGGTATAATTACTACCCTTCTTCCCTTCATAAACAATTCTCCGGTGTCCCTACAGTTGTTCAATAGTCGATATAATTATATTTGTCTGTTAAGAGTACTATTTTTGAAGCGTCGACATGCTTGGCTTATCCAGCAAGTACTTGTATTTGATCCAGTCCTCTTCATTGTAAAAGTGCCTTGACTCAGAAGGGATAGCGGGACTATCATGGTCGTGGAACCATTTCTCACCGGAGGGTAAAAAGTACCCCGCACCATCCCAGCGTCTACTCCAAGCGGAAGTCTGGAACGGAAGTAGGTTTGGCACTGGGACACCGGTGTACTGTGTGGGTACTCCTGACAACGTGATACCTACAACAAGACAAGACGAAATGTATTGAATAACACAGAACTGATCACAAAAGTATATGAATACTTTACCCGATATCGAAAGTTGGTTAAGAAATGAAAGTAATGCAATCCAGTTATTTTCTGGTTTCAGCTATGTGCTGACAAGTATTGTAACCACTTCTTACACATTACCAAAGCACGATTTCCCTTTAACTGTAACATGGAGTAGGATTGTTCGCTATGGATACATAACAATGATTCACACAAGAAACAGTCTGTACGTACATTTGTATAGAAACATAAAGACATGCAATCTGCAAAAGATGGTCAACGTATCGACGTTCTTCAACTGTTGTTCGTAAGTCGACATGAAAACATTCTTCTCAGCTGTTTTAGATTAATAAACATACCACTAGGCTTTGGAGCAGCGTCCCGCATTCGTTGATATTCGACCCAGGCGTCTTCCGACTCAAACAGTACCGCGTCCCTTTTGGTTTTCGGAGGGAGCGCCTTATACTCGTGGAACTGGATCCAGCAGTTGGATAAGGGGATGTAGTAGCCCGGCCCCCGGTACACGTGAGACTTTCCCGTACCGCTGAGGTAGTTGTGGACGGGGGTGGGATTGTAGGGTCCCCTCTCCTTCAGGTTCACCCCTCCACTAGTTGCGTACTCCACTCTGTGCATCCTGGAAATATAGATTAGAGGTTATATCGTACTCCAAGTGAAAACAACATATTAGAGATTATATCGTACTCTAAGTGAAAAAATATATGAGAATTTATACTNCGGGGGGGGGGTGTATCGTGACATATTGTAACTGCATATTTGAAATAAGAAAAATAACTTCCTACACGTTTTATTTTTATTATCAAGAACCTGGTTAAAATTTATAGACTGCTTCCTACACAGATGCCTGTCTGAAGTGTACTCTGGCTGAGGCTAGATGACAGGGAAAGGTTATCTCGGTCAATTCGATTCCAGACTAGAACGGACATTTCTGTCTCCTTGATACGACCTTTTGATATATACTTGTACCAAAGGGAGCTGACATTTTCATTTTCACTATTTTTGTTAAGTTCCTTTTTTCATTTGCCTTTTTCGAAGTTTAAAAATGTTCTCTTGGATACGGCAAATCGTCAAATAGGAAAAACATTGAAAATGTCATGATTTTAAATGTGAATATTTGAGCGTGGTTAGGAATCATAACATTAGAGTGCAGGGCAGGCTGACTACAAGTAACGGGTTTTCTTAGTAATTTGTAAATGTCATTCACATTGTGTATGTCTAGTTCTACTGATTTCATATGATCTATTCATACACGTCATCATACACCTCAACAATGAATCTCAAAACTAAAACTCAAAACGTTTGTCTTCCTTAACAGTATCTTCTACAGTCACTGCATCACTCCTATAGTGACAATACCATAAATGGTAAATATCTAAGCATTGAACTGTTTTGATATGGCTTTTACAGTCTACATGAACGACACAGTTCTGCAGGCAAAACATCATAATTCTCGCTAGCATGTTATGGTTTGTTTGCCTGCAAAGCTGTATCATTCACTTAAACTGTAACTGACATATCAACGGTGCTCAATGCTTATATCTACTTTTTTCGAAGTATTTTGAAAGATGCTGCTTAATATTCAGCGTTCAGTTCTGATTAGAGTGTGCCTCTTCAATGAATGGAACGTCCATCTTTCATGTAGGGTCAATGGTATCTAACGTTACAGCTACGACCTCAACACGTATATATATAGGCCATAGCATTTACAGTCAAAGGGGCCGCGGTGGCCACGTCTGACATTCTGCTACCACTAGCACTCCATCACTGGGTCGCAGAACTCCGGCTTTCATCCACCTTCAAAAACTGGCACGTCCTTAAATGACCATAGCTGTTAATAGGAGGTAAACCGTGTTATGGATGCTGTATTATTTTGTCATGGTTGTTATATCACTTCATCATGGTTGTTATATTACCGTGTTATGGTTGTTATTTGACCTCATCATGGTTGTTATATTACCGTGTCATGGTTGTTATATAACCGTGTCGTGGTTGTTATATTACCGTGTCATGGTTGTTATATCACCTGATCATGGTTGTTATATTACCGTGTCATGGTTGTTATATTACCGTGTCGTGGTTGTTATATTACCTTGTCATGGTTGTTATATCACCTCATCATGGTTGTTATATTATCGTGTCATGGTTGTTATATTACCGTGTCATGGTTGTTATATCACCTGATCATGGTTGTTATATTACCGTGTCATGGTTGTTATATTACCGTGTCGTGGTTGTTATATGACCGTGTCGTGGTTGTTATATAACCTCATCATGGTTGTTATATTACCGTGTCATGGTTGTTATATCACCTCATCATGGTTGCTATATAACCTTGTCATGGTTGTTATATTACCGTGTCATGGTTCTTATATTACCGTGTCATGGTTGTTATATAACCTCATCATGGTTGTTATATTACCATGTCATGGTTGTTATTTGACCTTCTCATGGTTGTTATATTACCATGTCATGGTTGTTATTTCACCTCATCATAGTTGTTATATTACCGTGTCATGGTTGTTATATTGTCATGTCATGGTTGTTATATTAACATGTCATGGTTGTTATATAACCGTGTCATGGTTGTTATATTACCTTGTCATGGTTGTTATATAACCTCATCATGGTTGTTATATTACCATGTCATGGTTGTTATTTGACCTCATCATGGTTGTTATATTACCATGTCATGGTTGTTATTTCACCTCATCATGGTTGTTATATTACCGTGTCGTGGTTGTTGTTATATTACCGTGTCATAGTTGTTATATTACCGTGTCATGGTTGTTACATTACCTTGTCATGGTTGTTATATAACCTCATCATGGTTGTTATATTACCGTGTCGTGGTTGTTATATAACCTCATCATGGTTGTTACATTACCATGTCATGGTTGTTACATTACCTTGTCATGGTTGTTATATTACCTTGTCATGGTTGTTATATTACCATGTCATGGTTGTTATATTACCTTGTCATGGTTTTTATATAACCTCATCAAGGTTGTTACATTACCATGTCATGGTTGTTATATTACCGTGTTATAGTTGTTATATTACCATGTCATGGTTGTTATTTGACCTCATCATGGTTGTTATATAACCGTGTCATGGTTGTTATTTCACCTTATCATGGTTGTTATATTACCGTGTTATGGTTGTTATATTGCCTTGTCATGGTTGTTATATTACCGTGTCATGGTTGTTATATTACCTTGTCATGGTTGTTATATTAGTGTGTCATAGTTGTTATATTTCCGTGTCATAGTTGTTATATTACCTTGTCATAGTTGTTATATTACCGTGTCATGGTTGTTATATAACCTTGTCATGATTGTTATATTACCGTGTCATGGTTGTTATATGACCGTGTCGTGATTGTAATATTACCGTGTCATGGTTGTTATACTATGTCATTGTTTCCTATATTACCACACACCATGGGTATCATATACATTTACTTCAAATAGTGACATTCTCTATAATTGGTTAATAAAATATTTTTTTCTATGACACCTGAATGTTCAGGAAGCAAATGCAACCAACGAGCCCCCATATATATTACAACCCCTTCTATGTCAATCGTCTTTCTTAACACAAAGCCGCCCTACACCACAACATTGAACACCACACCCGTATACGGTATAAATATCATATACGAATACTTGTACACAGTATGTGTTGAACTCAAAAACAGTGTGATCTGTAGATCTCGACTGGGTTTTTAGGCTTTGTTGTTGAATGTTATAGTAATAGAAGGTGTTTGGCACTATTTGCAAACTTTGCATTGCACCATCGCCCAGTCAGTATATATTCTTTATCGTATTGAGGTGTTGATTAGGTTTGACGAATGGGGTGTTATATCTACCTGTAGATGTTATCTCCCCTTTATTACATGATTATCGATCGTTTCTCATCTGTATACTACACCTGTATACAGGTGTGACGTTCCTTTTCCGCATGCGCTTATATAAGTAACCCGACAATAAGGTTTTGTTTATGTGGAATAATATTTCCATCACGAACACAATAAAATAGTTTTTTGTAATTCATGACTTTGATCACAATCACACCTGTGCACTTACCTGTGGCTGTCGTGACTGAGCAAACCGGATGTTTACCTGTGTGGTGTTACGTCGTGTAACCAATGTAAACTGATTAGGGCGCCATCTACACACAGACGGCTGATTGTGCAGTGTTGACTACGGGTCATTTAAACTTTATCCAACACGAGGAGCTTAGGAAGACCGTACAGGCTAAGCACGGGAGGATACTAACAATCGGGTTGTTGTTTTACCTGAAACACAGGTAAGACATTACTGCAGCTGAACGCAGTTGTGTGCAGGTGTGTCAAATTGCATCGCAGGTGTTAACAGGAGCTATCTACATGATGGAGGGGAGATTACTCCTATTGAAATTATTTGTTTGAAACTTGCTGATGTGAAAGGCGGGAGCCTTGAAGGGTTTTTGAACTTGTATGTGCACTAAATTTCGAATTCCAATCAAATCGAGTATACAATGTAAAATAAAATACATGAGTTGTAACAGAAAGATCGAGGTAGATATCGTCACGTTATGTTTCATTAGTATAGNCCCCCCCCCCCCCCCCCCCCACCCCCCCAATTTTCCACGTTTTTTTCAATAACCGTATCTCCCTTTTACAGAGTTCTTTCCTTCCATCCCTTCAATCCCTGTGATTGTATCCCGTCCCCCTTTATCTTTCATCGAATGCCATCTTCGGCTTCTCTCTCAATCTCCCCGCCCTTCCACATCTTTATCCAGGGCTATCTCTTAAATCACCAATCTCTCTCTCCGTCTTTTTCTAAATAACCTCTCCTCCATCCCATCTCCAACCCAATGGTTATTCGGAACACAAAATAAATGATTTTTGTTATTTTCTTTGGAGAAAATGTTTGTTATAAAAAATGACCTGTCCAGGTTTTGTGTTCCAGGTAACCAGAAAGCCATGCACCGGAAGGAGTACGCCACAAGTGGAGGGACTTACCTCAAGGAGCGTGGTCCCACTAACGCCGTCCCCCTCCACAATTACGTCAGTGGTGACGGAAAGTCGCACGCGTACAGAGGCATGGCCCACTACGTCCCCTCAGAAAGGGCCTGGATCGCCAAGGACCAGTTTCGATCGTTGCCACGTGAAACCAAACGTGACGCTATCGATATTCAGTCAGAGGACCAGTGGGTGGACTTCATGAGGAACCGAGACACGCCTTCTGGTAAATAATTGAACGGTGCATCCCCAAATTAGTCCGAGTCTAATATTATCGAATATTGGAGCTGGAATAAAATTCCGATTAACGAATGTGTAATTCAACGCTCCTTGTCACTTGTCAGCATTATAGAGATCACACCGAAAACGAAAAAGTGCTCTGGTTCGTTTTTGGAGTTTAAACTCTCCAATTTTGAATTCAATTTCGACGGATGAGATTTAATTGCTCTTAGTTTTTCTTAATAAAATGGCAACAGATAATTGCTCGTTAATTTGACCTTGTTTCATTTTTTTTGTATTCCCTGCCTTACATATATTGTAAATTTCTGCATATCTTCGACTGTACATTTAGTTCCCGTACCATATGATTTTAAATGTGACAAACATTCATTAATTCTTTTCTTTTCAATAATTATTGAATCATTTGTTGTTAACAGGTTACTACAATGAAAACATAGGCCTACTGCAGACTGGTAAAGCCGATCTGAAGCTCTTCGGATACACTCGGAACCTTCCTGCAATGCCATCAAAAGACATTTTCCAAAATCCCTGGCCGAAGAGTGATGCATTTGTTCCGGTAGAGCGAAAAGGGCGTGGCGATTACTATGGCTACTATCATGAGGCAATTGAAAGTGAACGAGAACGACGAAAGAAAGAGTTTCCAACGAGCTGGGTGATCGAAGCTAGAGACGTGCCGAAGTTATAATTTCTTATGAGCACTGACCTTACATGTTCAGTAAAACCTGACGTTACCGACATTAAGGGGGCGGGGTTAATTTGGTCGTTTATTGTGTATCGGATGTCGGTAAACTCAGGATTTAACGTACAAGTAGACATTTTAAGTCAACATTTGTCTAATATCCAGTCCGGATATATTATATCTTAGCAAACGTTAAAGATGAACACTTTAAGTCTGTGATAATAAGAATGGGTTTCATGTTTATCTATACCTCTCAAAACTCCCATGAACACTGTTTAAATAACACAGTATTTATCACACTGGATGAAAAGTTGGTGGTTTTCCCAATGGGACCTCGGGGTTTGTTACAGTCTGTATGATTGGACAATCATGATGTATTCCGTCTTTGCGTATTGCAGAGTTATCTTCTCCTGTGAGCAGATATTGATTGTTACCTCATTGGTTTGTGCGTGAAAATTACGTCGTTTTCTCAAAAAATGATGACGTTACTCTAACAAACAAATGACGTAACAATCAATACCTGCTCACAAGAGAAGATAACTCTGCAATACGAAAAAAAGGAATATGTATTTATATATCATAGCGAGAGATGTTTTTTCTGAACCTAAGCTTTTAATATCACTCTCTACATATCAGGATAGGGCCAAACATAAAAAACTGTAACAAATCCACGAGTGTTTGTGGTATTCCTCAATATACAGCAATATTCTCTTAATCTGCTATGTATTATTAGTGTTATAGTGTACAGAAATGTATATTTAATTTGTTGTGCAAAAAAATTTATAAATATATGATGATGAAAATGTAGAAATATCTTTCTTGACATTTCTACAAAAAGTTGGCTTTATTCTCGTGTTCAAATTATGTTATGGTATTTGTTTTATAGATGTGTCCAATATATCCAGATAACAGTATTAAAGCGAACTGTGATGATTGTGACTTTTTGTATGTTTCTTCTAATTGTTTGCAAATTCAACACATATTACACAGATCTATGTAAACCAGTAGACAGGACAGCAATGCTAGTATCGACTACGGGTGTATTGCTATCCACAACACACGTATACTGTATTGTCAAGTCATGGTGACAGGACGTTCTAGAACCAGATTGTTTAAAACTACACAATTTGAAATAGTTTAATGACACGTGTCGGGGTAAGGGTTAAGGTAAACTCATTTAGATATTTCCTTGAAGGAAACCGAACAAACATATTTTTCTGTTTCAATACAAAACTGAATGTATTCATTCCCCTTGTCCAGTTTGACCAATATGAGGAACGCAAGATTATCTTTCAAATACAGACACTCGTAAAAAAAAATTGTCAAGAATGTGAAGAAAAAAAAAACAATCGGGACAATACACATATGTCAACAAAACCTTAATTTGAACTCAATTAAAAGTACAATTAAAGGGCCCGTATTCATGAAAACGTTCTCATGCTCAAGGATTGATTTTGTGCTCATACCAGCTTTTTTGTAACTCACTTAAGTCATGTCAAACGATCAAAACGTCAAATGGAAATATTGATAATAGTTTTATGCTTTGAACCTCTTAATTGTTTTCCAAATCATTGAAAAAATAAGATCTATTTATCAATTTAACACTAAAACAAGAAATAAAACTTGAGTACAACATCCATGCATGAGCGTGATAACGGTTTCGTGAATACCGGCCCAGATGCTTCATCGAAGTAAATCAAGGAACGGAGTATTGACAACGAAACAATAAAACACACTTCTGAGAACAACCTCTTTCAAATCACACAGCGAAATAGCATTTTCCCCAATACATCGTGATGGCGCCCATAAAAACGTGACCGTAGTTTGACTCAGCCTGCACATTCTGTATTGTAAGTTTTTGAAACTCGTTGAACTCACAACATTCGTAGCAAGTTCTTGAATACCGAGTCAAACCCCTAGGTTTGGGGAGCAGATATGTTTACTGTCAAGGAGGGGGAAATCGAAATCTTCGCGCTCATCGCACAACTTAGATGTGAGCCGTCCCTGTTGGTCTTGTTGCAGGTAAAGAATCTTTAGTGTCGTTGATTTCAAGCTCATGAGTGTATACGATCGACGTGGTGAATATATTTCCGTTGTTTAAATATAGATATATCTCAAAGTGAAATTGCAGAACTTGGCAAGGTTTTTGTTACCAGCCTTGATAAATTTCAATGGAAAACAAAGACAAAGCGCCTAAAAGAAAAGCATGTTTTTGCTTGAAAATCTTCAGAACTTCAGAACCCCAACACAGTTATTCTCAACCAGGAACTCGATCATTCTCGAGCATAAATTCATTTTGACATTTGCCATGTTTTTTGCCCAAAAGAAACTTCAAAATAGTTTACAACTATATTTTTTATCGCCGTTTACCTTTCTTGGGAAAATAAATAAATTGAGAGAACGAAGACGTTGCTTAGTTTCTCATGAGGTGTGATATAAAGAATGTATAAGGTATAAGTGAAATGTTCTGATAGAAGAAGTATTTTTAGGAAAGGAGGCTCATATGTACATATATGACAAGGATTAAGGTATTAGATGTATTGTATGCTGACAACACATTTATTTATGGTTTTTTCCATATTTTTATGTTTTAAGATGAAGCGTCGAACTGAACGAATAATGACGGACTAAACGGCCATTCATTTAATGCTACCTTGTTGTGAAATACATCTCAAACGGTCTTTAAATATCATTTGTGAATAATTATTTAGACGTGCACCTCTGAAGGAATTCATATATAAACTGAATCTATTCAATGTGCAAAAGACATATCATCTATCACAGGGATTCGCAACACGGTCGACATTGCCAAAAGATTATAATATTGCGGTTCTTTAACTTCTCTCCTTAGCTCCAGAGTTTCCTATAGTGAACAATCCCTCTTACTACCGCCAGATTCAAACCAGAAGCCAAAAGCTTCAAAATATTTCTAGGACTAGATGGGTGCAATGGTACGATGCACTTGAAACTTTCATTTTGATGATTGTGCGACTAGTTGTCAACATTGGAGAAAACAAATTGCATATCAACATCAATAGATACATTCAACGGGGAGACTGAGTGATGCTATTTTCCTTCTTGCTTCAGTGACCAACTTTGGACTCTTGATGGCATGTGTTATGTACATATGTAGCTGTAGAAAAAGACAAAAACTTTTTTTTCATAATTTTCTTTTGACTTTACGTAACCAAAATGTTATGATGCTTTATTTGCGTGGTTTATTATTAGTAAATTGTTTTATTAATTGATAGATTGATAAATTGATTCGTTGATGATTGATTAGTTATTGATTGTTCTTCCTAACTCCATGGAACAAAAAATATGTGTGTGATAAGAATATGAATTATTTGGTTAAGCATTGAAAACAATATTTGATGTGGAAATTAAAGAAAAAATACATAGCGTCGAAATCTTAACTCAGCTTGACACTGCTAGTTCAGGGGAGGTAATTCACAAGTACAACCTATTGGAACTCTCCTCTTAATATCAGAACGAGGCAGGCTTCCTTTTACTTCAGGTGAGTTTCACATGTTCTCATTTGTGTTTTAAAATGCAATCAGAACCCAAATTGTTATGAATTGATCCCTCGTCACGATCACATATGTGTTGTTATCTACTCCACTAAATAATTAGCATCACCGATTGAATAATACCCGAAGAAATGTCCGGTTTCGCATAATTGATGAACCGGCATCAGACTACGGAGTAAACGTAATCGTCACCACTTTTGACGGATGATTGAAATTTGTGAATCTTTTCCAATACATACTCATACTAATATACTTTTAGCAAGACCAACAATCGACATGCATTAAATGGACGAATGAAGCTCCCGCGTGATCTACTGTGTAACCAGGGATATTTGAGAGCAACCTTTGGTTGATTCGTCCTACTGATACTAATCTCTCCTGTATACAATTCCACTAGCCCGACGTCCAGGGCCAGGAAGATAGAAATATAGACCTATATACATAAAATCAATTATGTGTTATGTGATAACTGAATTCAAATATTTTCTCTTTTTTTTTCCCAGATGAGTAACATGAAGAGCATATCTTGCTGTCTAGTATTGACTTTTATCCTTGTGATAGGGATAACCGTGGTAAAGTCAGGGAACCCACATGATGCTGATATAGAGGACAACGACTTCGCAGAATTTGAAGATTTTGAAGATGGTGGTGAGCTTTATATCTAACATGAAAAGTTTGGTGTTAAAAAACCCATGTTTAAACAAGTGTAATAAATCATTAGGGGGAAAACCAAAATATCTAACTAATTGATCTTTAGTAGCTCTGTTAATAGAGGATGTGAAAATTACAATTGACTGGGGTGTAATTAAGTGTATAGGGATATTATACTAACTGTGGTCATGATGATCAGGCCCTAATAAAAATCCTATTTGTGTCTGTTCCCCTACATAAATATGCTGACTCAATAAAAAGTAGTCTGCTCAAATAATTTGATTGAACATTGATTGTAGAAAAAAATGTCTGCAAATCTGGTAACCTATGATAAATTTGAATTAATATTCAGAATAAATTGTCATACAAGAGTTGATAATTTAATCCTAAAGATATTGGTTGGAAAAAATAAATATTAATAGTACAGTCTTATAAGAATTGTTTAGATGTATGCAGACTGAAACAAACATCAACAATGCAGCAGAACAAAATATAGCTCTTCATGGCTGACTTTCTTTAAGACAAATGGTCATCTTCAGGCCTACTATTTTCAAATATATCTGCTTTTACCAAAATGTCTATATCTGGCAATGTACATATTATCTACCTGGTATATCATTTTCAAAGCATGCAACAAACCAAGAAATGGTTTAAGGATTTATTGCAAGCAGTTAAAATGTGACTTTTTAAAATAGATAAAAGAAACTTAAAATCCTGAGTTGGGTTTAATCAAACAATTATGTTATTGATACTGGCCTAACAGGAGTTTTATTTGTTGTCCCCACAGTTGAAGTGTTGGAGGACGAGGACAGGGCAGAGTTTCCTGATGATGTTGAAGTTCAGCAACAGAAGGAAGGAGGAGCTGAGGGAGAGGACGATGAGGAGACAACTATAGAGGTACTTATATAACCAGATTGTTAAACTAACAAAATTTACCACACAAACGAATAAAACTGTGTTTAGAAGGTAAACTAATAATCATCTTTAGCCTCCTTGACTTTTAGCTGTATGTCTAAATCTATAAGTAAGAATGTTTAACTTATAAGTAAGAATTAATTGTCATAACGGGGGCTGAAACAGGTATTAAACCATGTACTTGGTTGCGGTTTGGCTACCAGTGTTATATCCTAGATTGCCAAAAACCATCCCAAAAGGTACTTGCATACTACACACTACATCTGATGCATTTTGAGATCTCAGTCGAACGTGAAGAAATTTCTTCAAATTCATGCTTTTATGTGTGTTTTTTTAAAAATTTAAACATTGGTAATTTTAAAGAGACAAATGAGGAAATTCACACTTTTTCAATTAAGAATGTCAGCATTCCCTTGACTGAAAAACTATCTCCAGTGTCCAATAAAGCCATTATTACTACATGTACAACGTTAACGTTTAACAAGAATTTGGTTTGTCTTTCTTCATATTCATTTTTATTATTCAGAATGAAGATGATGATGATGAGTTTGAGCACTTCACAGATGAAGATGAGTTCATTGGATTTGATAAGGGTCAAAGTCCCAGCTCAGGAAAATCTAAAGACAAACTTCCTAATTTGAAAATGACAGAGGTTTGTAATAAAAAAATGATATATGGAGATACGTGATCTAGCTATAACAGCTTGTTCACCGCCTGTTGAATGATGTTTCAATTTTAAGTATAGAGAAGTTTAACATCGAAAAAAATATCAGCACTTAAATATATGTTAAAACAAATCAATATTACAAAATGCTTCTACAGGCAAGTATTATTACAACATTTTGTTCCGCTATTGATAATGAGGTCATGACCTTAACAGGTTCCCGGTCATCTACGTACTAACTGGGACAGTTTCTACATGGAAATCCTGATGCTGGCTGGTCTGGCTGTTTACTTCCTCAACTTCATCCACGGTAAAAACAAGAACCACAAGTTAGCCCAGGCCTGGCTCCAGTCCAACCGTGACCTGCTGGAGAGCAACTTCCATATTGTTGGTGAGTTTGTCAAACAGTGCAGGACAGAGACACTTCCAGAAATTGGGGGGGGGGGGGGGGGGGGGGGGGGGTAATTGAGGCCATTGTCTGAATTTGTCAAACAGTTTACTGCATCCTAATTGTTGGAATTAAACCCTAATAATGGATAATGCTATAGAAGCTTGTGAACTTATATGCCAGGGTTTACTAAATTGTGTTACTGTTATATTATAAAACAACCATTTTATAATCAGGTCTGCTGTGTTATGTGACATTCATTATGTCTGCTATATAATGTGATGTACATCAGGTGATGATGGATCCACAAAGGAGGCACAAGCTGGCACCCTGATGAAGGAGTCGGAGAATGTGTATGCGCTGTGGTGCAGTGGACGGTCTGCTCTGGAGGGTATGCTGGTGGAACTTAGACTCCTGAAAAGACAGGATCTCATCAGCACCATGACGAACATGTTTAAACCTGCCTCAGATCAAATAGTATGTAGCAACTGGTGTCAAATAAGTAGATCATATTTCGAGGGAGTTCAGAATTTCTTTCAATCATCAAGAAAGTATTCAATTCAATATAATGTAAAAACAACAAACATTATCTATAAGCTGTGTTCAAACTAACACGAAAATACAGACAGTATGATAGTCTATGTTTGAAGTACATGTATTACTTTATCATTTTTGATAACTAGAAAAACATTCTTTTGAAAAATTGCTTTTTTAACTTCTAAGGAAAGGGAGAGCATTTCGAACAAAAATTACAGGTTTCTACAGAGTTTAAATGTAAAATACTTTTCTATTTGAAATTGTTCCCAGATCAGTACTTTCAGGTTGTGTCCCTCGAAATGCCAAATTTTAGCAATAAAGACCCCACTCATAATTCGGCTATTTTGTATTACCTGTAGTTGGTGACGATAGACCTAGACAAGAACGTGATGGACAAGTTTGTTTTCGCCATTGCTATGAAGAGGAGCTGTGCCAAGCTACACAAGGAAATGATAGATTTGGTAAGCATGGCTGTGTTGAGTTTATTCTTTGTTGATATTTTAACAAAGAAAATGAACCAGAGATGAAATTTAATGACTGTATATATAAATTACAAAATAATCAAAGGATGGTAAGTTTATCACAAAGTAAATAAATAAAATGTGTGGTTGATTTCTGTTACATAAAGAGACACAAAGTGATCTGTAAGTGCTGTTTTTATTTGACAGAGTCAGTTTACAGAAAAGAAGAATTTAGATAAATATTCTGACATGCCAAGCTCATACCAATTACTGAGTGAGGTGGGAGAGGCATCTAATGCTCTTTTAGATAAAAAGGTAAGTGATCATTAGTAGACCTATCTCTGAAAGCTTCAGAGAATCAATAAATCACTCTCCATAAGCAGAAAAAAACTGATAATCGTAACGATATTCCAATAGAATTGCCATCTGCCACTACCATTTGCTACAGTGTCTATATAATTTTGCTCTGGGCATTGATGAAATTGTATGACATTCCTCCTTTTAGTCTCCCTTGTTCACTAATTTCCTTAGTCTAGTTTGAAGAGAAAATAAAAATAGTTTGTATCCAAACCTTGACAGTAGATTTTCCTTCATGAGATTTCTTATTAAATGAAATGAGTAATTAAGCAATGTGTCTCATACGAATATACTACATAATGTCTTGATAAGCAAGAAACATAATTAAGAAAAAGAGCTGAGTTTATGTAACATGGTATATGAGCGACGGAATCTTTTATTGTTGATTGGTAGGTTATTCCATATTTCTTGTTTCAAATGCCCTTTTTTATAACTTTTGATGTCTTTGAAAGTTTGTGAGTTTTGTCGACAGGTTTGCCAAGTGCTGACCAAGTTTGAGGGCCAGGTGGAGTTTATGCATTTCTCAGACCAGTTTTGTGGAGCGAAGTCGCAAGAGTAAGTGTATATATTTGAGGGCTTGGTGTATTTCCTATATTTCTGTCACCAGCTCTATGGGGGTTAGTTATATCACAAGAGTAAGTGTATATATTTGAGGGCCCGATCAGAGTTTTTATTTTCCTGTCGCCAGTTCTATGGGGGTTAAATCACAAGAGTAAGGGTATATATTTGAGGACTTGGTGTATTTTATATATTTCTGTCGCCAGTTCTATGGGTGTTAAGTCACAAAAGTTAGTGTATAAATATGAGGGCCCAATTGGAGTTTTCATATTTCTGTCCTCAGTTCTATGGGGGTTAAATCACAAGAGTAAGTGTATATATTTGAGGGCTTGGTGTATTTCAGATATTTCTGTTGCCAGTTCTATGGGGATTAAATCACAAGAGTAAGGGTATATATTTGAGGGCTTGATCAGAGTTTTTATATTTCTGTCGCCAGTTCTATGGGGGTAAAATCACAAGAGTAAGGGTATATATTTGAGGGCTTGATTAGAGTTTTTATATTTCTGTCGCCAGTTCTATGGGCGTTAAATCACAAGAGTAAGTGTATATATTTGAGGGCTTGGTGTATTTCATATATATCTGTCGCCAGTTCTATGGGGGTAAGGTCACAAGAGTAAGTGTATATATTTGAGGGCTTGGTGTATTTCATATATTTCTGTCGCCAGTTCTATGGGGGTTAAATCACAAGAGTAAGTGTTTATATTTGAGAGCTTGGTGTATTTCATATATTTCTGTCGCAAGTTCTATGGGGGTTAAATCACAAGAGTAAGTGTATATATTTGAGAGCTTGGTTTATTTCGTATATTTCTGTCACCAGCTCTATGGGGGTTAAATCACAAGAGTAAGTGTATATATTTGAGGGCTCGATTAGAGTTTTTATATTTCTGTCGCCAGTTCTATGGGGGTTAAATCACAAGAGTAAGTGTATATATTTGAGGGCCCGATCAGAGTTTTTGTATTTCTGTCGCCAGTTGGCTTTAATGACTCCTCTAAAGTTTGATATTTACACTTCGGTTAACAGTATCACCTTAATACATGGAATACATTTGTTTGACAGTACGTTTTGTTTTTTCCACAGTGAGTCCCAAGCCACAAAAATGCCTGAGGTTAAACCTGTAATGATATTTTGTTTTAATGGTAAGTTTTCCGGAAAGTTCACTGTTCCATTTTGGCACTGAAGACACCTCTCCATAATTCTTGTATTAAACTTCGTTTATTTTTACAGAAAATGTAATGTTGGGTTCGATTCTCTGCATCAAATTTTCTTCTTTGTTAAAGTAACATCTTATTTGGAAATTTCTACAGAGAAAAAGGTTGGGTAATAGATACCCGGCAAAGATCCCAAACCAATGAATGCTGGGTAGATCTAGTGCACTTAACCTTTACTGTCAAATTTAATCTACAGCAGGAATAAGTGATAACAGGAAATTTGAGGAGGGTGTTTATAGTCTTAGGCCTGTTATAATATTGTTATGATTCATATATCACTTCAATTACTTCAAGACCTACGAGGACAGAGGAAATTGTCAGGATTGTGATATTCTGGTTTTTACATTTCAGTACCTGGTAAAGGTAAGAGCAAGCCTACAGACATGGAGCAGATGAAACCCTTGTTACAGCTAGTCTTCTACTGCCTGGAGAAAGTCAGTCGCCTTCAGCTTGGCAAGGAGGTAAGCAGATCATAGCAATGTCACATTATCTCTGACAAGATGCTGTTACTGTCAAATATTACACAAGTTTTATGTAGAAAAGGACATAGTTGAGGAACTTATTGCAAAAATATTGAATTTATCTTACTTTTCTGGAACAAACAAGCATTGCATTTATTGTTTAATCTTTGTCATCAGTTGAATTTTAGGAGGCTATAAGGCCCCCTGTAGGAGCTCTCCTCAGCCTCAGTATAATTTTGACCAGTTCATTATATTTGGAGGGATCCTTGACTACATCTCTGGGTTACATTAGTGCCCATGTAGGGACCAAGACATTATCCATAATCTTCTTAGCTTTGCACTTACAAGCATGCTTGCACGAAGAAGACTCGAGGATGAGGTCTTTCCATGGAGGAATAGTATTTTTCAAGTAGTGAACCATCTAGGCAGTTGTAATTGATTTGGCTAGAGGAATGTTTTTAATTCTATTGGCATTGCTGTCACACATTATAACTGCCTTAACCCTTTCACCCCTATGTAACTAAAGTAGGCTCTACCTTGCATTGATATGGACAAGTCCATAATGGTCTACAGTGGTGAAAGGGTTAAAGAAACCAATAGGTCATGTAAAGAAAAACCAGAGTCCTGTAATCGACCATTGCCTTTACTGGACTTTGTCCACATAGATACATTGATATAGAGATTTCTTACAACAAGTTTATCCTTCAGGCAAGAAATAAATCAGAAAAGAACAGGAAGAAAGCAGAAGAACAATTCCTGAAAGCCGCTCATTCTCAGCTTCAAGAGGCAGCACAGCTTCGTCGTGAAGAGAAACGTCGCAATGAGAAGGAACGCATCATGAATGAGGAGGATCCTGATAAAACTAGGAAGTGGGAGGTAGGTCAACCGTGTATGGATCAGGGTCAGGGTTAGTGTATAGGAAGTGGGAGGTAGGTCAACCTTGTATGGATGTAGGTCAGGGTTAGTGTATAGGAAATGGGAGATAGGTCAACCATGTATGGATGTAGGTCATGGTTAGTGTTAGTGTATAGGAAGTGGGAGGTATGTCAGCCTTGTATGGATGTAGGTCAGGGTTAGTGTATAGGAAGTGGGAGGTAGGTCAACCTTGTATGGATGTAGGTCAGGGTCAGGGTTAGTGTATAGGAAATGGGAGGTAGGTCAACCTTGTATGGATGTAGGTCAAGGTCAGGGTTAGTGTATAGGAAGTGGGAGGTAGATCAACCTTGTATGGATGTAGGTCAGGTTTAGTGTATAGGAAGTGGGAGGTAGGTCAGCCTTGTATGGATGTAGGTCAGGGTTAGCTTATAGGAAGTGGGAGGTAGGTCAACCTTGTATGGATGTAGGTCAGGGTTAGATTATAGGAATTGGGAGGTAGGTCAGCCTTGTATGGGTGTAGGTCAGGGTCAGGGTTAGATTATAGGAATTGGGAGGTAGGTCAACCTTGTATGGATGTAGGTCAGGGTTAGTGTATAGGAAGTGGGAGGTAGGTCAACTTTGTATGGATGTAGGTCAGGGTCAGGGTTAGTGTATAGGAAGTGGGAGGTAGGTCAACCTTGTATAGATGTAGGTCAGGGTCAGGGTTAGTGAATAGGAAGTGGGAGGTAGGTCAACCTTGTATGGATGTAGGTCAGGGTCAGGGTTAGATTATAGGAAGTGGGAGGTAGGTCAACTTTGTATGGATGTAGGTCAGGGTCAGGGTTAGTGTATAAGAAGTGGGAGGTAGGTCAGCCTTGTATGGATGTAGGTCAGGGTTAGTGTATAGGAAGTGGGAGGTAGTTCAACCTTGTATGGATGTAGGTCAGGGTCAGGGTTAGTGTATAGGAAATGGGAGGTAGGTCAACCTTGTATGGATGTAGGTCAGAGTCAGTGTATGTGGCCATTACCAACATGGCTAAAGTTTTAGGTCAAGTAGGGGGTAGATCTCGGATGTTTTCAGCCTTTATCTGGGTCCTTAAAATCAAGGTTACCTAAGATAATGAGCGTTTGTTGACACCTGGATGAACTTTTTACCTTCAAAGGAATACACATTTCCTGTATTCAAATAATATTCAAAATATTTGCTAAATTTAATAGGATCTGTGCTATAATTTTGTGGTTAGATTTCTTTTTATACACCCTTCTAAAGATGGGACATATTGTTATCAAGTGAGGAGACACTCAGTGTCTGCATGATATTAAGTTATTTTCAACAGATTATCTTGAAACTTCATATGAAGGTTAATTGTCATGAAAGTTCAGACTAGTTTGATGATCAATATTATTGTACATTGTATTTTCACTTGCAAAAACAGAGTTCGCTTGATATCTTGAGTGATTTTCAACAGATAAACTTTAAAATTCACAAAAAGGTTAATTCATAAAAGCTTGGATAAGTTTGATAACGACCATTTTAGTTTGCCAACAACCATTATTAACCATAATTGAGGTATTGCCCCACGCAGGTGCAGACATTGTAGGACCTACTCTCTTAAACTAATTTGTGATTTATATCTGTGATTGTTATCATTGATGTTTGCTGTAAATGCAGATACTCTTAGCACTGTTATTTACTGAAATGACTGATTCCGATACTTGTGTTTTTAAGGAGCGAGAAAGCAGAAGAGAAATGAAGAGGAAACAACCAAAAATGAAAATGATGAAGGTAACTAAACAATAATAGCAAAATATAATCAAATGATACATAAAATGATACATCCTATGAAATATCTGAAAATCATCAGTATTGGCCTTGAGAATCACTGAAACCACAGTCGTAAAATGAAGTTATTAACTGTGTTTTCAGTTATTAAAAGTCCATGGTGTTCAGTCTTAATGTAGCTGTAGGTTAAACCTCTCGCCCAGATCTGTTCATTGGTTTTCTGTCATAATGTAAACTTGTCGTAAATTTCCTCACTCTTTCTTTCAGATCTGATCCAGGATATACAGTCAGGATGCTGGCACCAGATTTGTCCAAATAGAAAATAGATTGTCAAATAATAATAATAAATTTGTCAAGTTGGAGAAAAAGGAAATTACTGTCCAGTTCATAGTGATGTGTCTGTAAGGAAATGGCTGTTCCACCAATGTTCCATGCTTTGTTGTTTGTGTGTGATACAACCCATTAACTGAAAGATTTATAAACCAGGAATAAAAGTTGGTTACAGTTCTGAGTTCTGTGTGAAAGTCAATGTTGTTGGGTTGGTAAAGTGTATCAACCTCTATTATAATAGATTTTCCCAAATGCCACTTTAACCCTTTCACCCCTATGCAACTTTAGTAGACCCTCCCATGCATTAATCTGGATAAGTCCATCATGGTCTACAGTGGTGAAAGAGTTAAATAGGAATTTTTTTTAGAAACTTTGTACATTTCTGCAAAGCAGGATCATGTTTATTACGCTCGTTGCTATTTGGTAGAGAAACAGCATGCAAAGCATCAACTGTATGTCAAATCATTCCACACTGTGTTTGTTCCATGTGATCATGAAGGCTAAAAGGACTGCTGTTATACAGGCGTAGTTCACATCATACTGGGAAATTAGCCTTCCTTTATAAATGGGTGATTCACACACAGGTACTGGCCTCGTCTATTTAAACACCTATATTATGGGTGTATTGACAGAGAAGGCCAGTTCCTGTGATTCACATGCTCTATACAACTTACAAGTAAAGGGGAGAAATTGACACACAATTTGTGCAGGATAGATAACTTATACAGGGGAGATATACTTGTTATACAGGGAAGCTAGTTTTAATTTATACAAGGGAGATAACTGATACAAAAGAGCTTCAGCAAGAAAGATAACTTAAAAAAAACAATGTTTGATTTATGCTTTGGAAATTATTCAGCAAGCTATTTGAAATACACCCCGGAAAGAAAAACTGATACATGTATGTCAAATGTGTTGACAACTTCTTGAAGAGAAAGAGGGGGCAATCTATTTGATTTTTTGTGTACAGCCTTATTTTAGACATTTAGCATTACAACATAAAATTCCAGCAAATTTGTTCTCTTACAGAGACAACAAAATTTTATGGTTTATATCTTTGTCACGTTATGTTGGCATTATTAGGGTATAAAACAGATAAGGACATTGTGGTTTCATTATATGGCCAATTGTTAAGGGACAAATATGAACAATGTGATCTCAACGTGTATAGGATAATTATTTGGGTATTTCGGTGCAATAGTATTAATAAACTTAATGCTTCAGGTCTGTGTTAGTATGTTTGCTTCGATTTATAAAGATGATTTTCTTTCTTTCCAAGCTACCTTGACCTTGTACAGATTGGAGTGGTTTAAGATTGCAAAAAACCTGTTTAATTTCAGTTAGATGTTGTGAATGAGAGGTTTGTTTGCAGTCTTATATGTAAATCAATGTATTGAAATTTTTATAAGAAATGTCTTTTATTTAAAACCTTTAAAAAGTGTATATATTTATGTTATATAGCTACATGTATTATATTCAGGATTAGAAATTGTAATAAAGGGACATCCAACATCAGTTAGCGCCGGGTGTTTGTGTTGGATACTGTATTCGTAGGGTTAAAGCCAGATAAACCAGTCTGTTGAGACATTGAACCACATACCATATTATAGAACATGTACATGTCTTTTATGTCAGATTTTCAGGATGTTGGGTTTCTACTTTGTTTTAAAGATTGAACAAGTATCACCTGAAACTAGCTCAATTAAGGTAGAACCATTCTTTACACACTGAACAGTTTTAATGTCATGACGTCATTATAAATCTATATTGTGATGTGTCAAGTCATTGATATTCAAAGAACTATTGTGACAAGGAACGTGACTCAAAAACACCCGAGCTGAAGAGTTGTATCATCTTGTAATATAATTTGTTAATTTTTGTCGACTGAAAATCATTTACAATATTCCAGTATTAGTGAACACCTTATAACTGGCCCCAGTCATTTAAATTCATGTGCAATTTATCACTCGGGTTCTTTTATGTTATATATACTAACAAGACCACCAAAGCTGGTCGATGCTCATGATTTCATTTTAACAGGAAATAACTTGATGCATGTATTGGATGTTGTTTAATCATTACCACGAAGCTCACAATGTTCCAGTGATAACATCAGCATTCTCCACCAGGTTTAAAACTTGATCTTCTCACAGTTTAGATATTACCTTTTATCTCTCTTCTTGTAGCAATCTTACAATATAATATATTAAGATATTAATAATATCATAAATATTTAAGAAGTGTTCAACAAGTTTGTACTATCGGAGTCGTTCAATCTGTTGTGGCATTTAATTAGAAATATCTATTTCCAGTAATAAAACATGTGTCTTCAAACTTTCATTGTAGAGCTTTGATTTATATACATGTATGTAGCATTGATTTCCATCTGCTCAATAACATGTTTGTCATTTTTGTTCAGTGACAGAGTCAAATGGTTGCTCAGTAACACAATAACTCATGACTCATTGCTAAGTGACTAGCATCTCAAGCTCATTATATCTGCTTAGCAACATGATGGCTCATGGCTGCTCATGACAAGGTTACTCATAACTGCTCAGTGATATGGGGACTTGTGGCTGCTCAATGACTTGGTGACTTGGCTACTCAGTGACAGTGTCTCATGGTTGCTCAGTGGAAGTATCTGATGTTCAGTTTCTGTGGTTCATGGCTGCTCAGTGATATGGTGACTTGTGGCCGCTCAATGACATGGTGACTCAGGGCTACTCAGTGACAGTGTCTCATGGTTGCTCAGTGGTAGTATCTGATGTTCAGTTTCTGGTCCATGGCTGCTCAGTGGCTTTATCTTATAATTGCACGAAGACAAGGCGACTTGTGATGGTGTCATATTGCTGCTAAGCAACAGGGTGACTCGTGGCTGCTCAGTGACTGTCTCGATCATGGCTGCTCTGTGACATTGACTCATAGCTGCTCAATGAAAAGGCAACTGGTGGCAGCACAGCATTATGGTGACTCATGGTTGTTCAGTAATACAGTGACTTGTGTCTGCTCATCAACAGTGATTCGTGACTACTTTAGTGAAATGGCGATTCATGGTTGGTAAGTGACATGGTGACTCATTTATGCTAAGTGATATGGTGTCTCTTGGCTGCTGAGCAACAGGTTGACTCATGGCTGTTCAGTGACATGGTTACTTAAGGTGACCAGATGTGTAATGCAATAAGATCTATTCTGTTAATGTGCAATTATTTGTTTTTCCAAAGTGGACTTGATTGAACAACTCGCAAGTGCTATATTTTTTTTATCATCTGTATTCCTTTTGGACATGGATTTTCTTTTTGTATGAATGGAAGAGTTTGGCCTTCTGGAGTCAATATATTATGTCCTTGTATACTTATTTATGCAGTAAATGTGATAATTGTGCAAAGAGTCTCTATAAGTCTTATTGCATTACACATTTCCCAATAATGTTGGGGTTGCTGACATATCATTACTTACATATGTACTAGGGTGTACCCCATGTCAACTCTTTATTTCATCAACAGCACTAACATTACCAACACTATATGGAAATGACAACAAGAAACGTTTGTAGTATGCTGTAATGTTGAGGCTACTGATGAAGATCTGTCATATTTACATTGTAACTTATACAATATTATACCAAATTGTACTGAAAAAAAAATGTCTCAAAAATGTATTCAAACTATTCATCTAAAGACAAGAGGCACACAAAAATATTTTTTGAATTTTAAGGCATTTCTCCACAAGCGGTTCCAAGGTCTGTATCACAGATCTGTTCACATTGTTACCAAGAGAGCTACAATCCATGAACAGCAGATGGTTATTCACACACTTTTAGAGTACAGCTAGTGGCTATAATTTTAAATGTCTTACCAAGTTTGAGTTGACAACTTTTTCCATTGTTAGTCAATTCGTGAGGAATTTGTTATACATTGTATATATATAGCAGATCTGTAAAACATACTGCAGGTCTACAAACATTGGGAAACAAAATCAATCTGATTAAAATAATATGTTACATGGCTTCGTTAACTTCGTACTACGCATGCGGAGCCATGTAACAGATGATTTTAATCAGATTGAAACAAAATAAGCCTTGTATATAGTATATATGGAGTGTCTGCGGAGAGATGTTGAACCACCTCAAACACTGACACAGAAACACAATGATCAACTACATAGACTTACAACACATGTGAAGAAACACAGTTGGTACTGGTGTCTGGGACCAAACCTACAAGTAGCACTGAAGTAGAGCTCCTAATGAAGTGTTGGACCATTTGTTAAGGTAAAGGTCAAGTTACAATCACGAAGAAATGTTCCACTTTAATAGAACTGTTTTTCACTTGATCATTTTCCATTGAACGTAGAGAATTCAGGCATTTTCTGTCATAAGATCACTTTCTGTAATTGTTCTGGGAGTTGATAAAGAGGGACAAATAAGGTAGAATTTTCTTTCGAAAACATAAAAGATTTTAATCAGATTGAAACAAAATAAGCCTTGTATATAGTATATATGGAGTGTCTGCGGAGAGATGTTGAACCACCTCAAACACTGACACAGAAACACAATGATCAACTACATAGACTTACAACACATGTGAAGAAACACAGTTGGTACTGGTGTCTGGGACCAAACCTACAAGTAGCACTGAAGTAGAGCTCCTAATGAAGTGTTGGACCATTTGTTAAGGTAAAGGTCAAGTTACAATCACGAAGAAATGTTCCACTTTAATAGAACTGTTTTTCACTTGATCATTTTCCATTGAACGTAGAGAATTCAGGCATTTTCTGTCATAAGATCACTTTCTGTAATTGTTCTGGGAGTTGATAAAGAGGGACAAATAAGGTAGAATTTTCTTTCGAAAACATAAAAGATCACATGGTATGTCTTACAACCAAGTATGGCAGTAATTATATGTCTCTTGCATGTGAAACAGATTTTTTATGAAAAGACAGCTATAGAAAATTCAGAATAACATCAAAAATGTTTTATGAAAATTTTATTCATGCAAATAATAATTTATAACGTTATACTAAAACAAAATGTAAAATGTACAAAACTACAACATGAAAATGACTTTGTGTGCTTATCTGTTGATTTTGGAGACTGTCAGCCTCAGAAATGTAACTATAAAGTACATGTACATCACTGGATTTTTATCTGGATAACATCTTTCTGGTATAAAACTTGATAAAATGATACAAATTGTATATAATGTTACAACTATAAACAAAGAATACTACACTGTCACAAATATGAACATAGGACTGAAGATCATTCTCACATTGTAAACAAACACAACATAACTAATGAAAGCACTGTAGATATGACAACTACTGCTCTGTAATCGTTCGGTATAATACAAAACCTCTCACATAATCTACGAGGTTACACACACTCTATTATCGACCTTATATCATTGTTTCTCTACCTGCACATCAGTTGACCCAGGAGGGTCTGCATAGTTATTCTACAGATACTGAGGGCTAGCATGATCTCTGAAACCTGTTATCTAGGCATATTAATTCTGTAATCCAGGAAAGTCTCTATATTTGGGTACAGTCATAGGGAGTTAACTTAGCATCTATGGTCCCTTTCTAAAAAAAACAAAAAAACTCAGGTTTTGCATTTATTCCTCTTCATGTCCTTTTGAGGAAAGAACTCAAAAATAGCTCATAATGTTTCATTTAAATCACTGTAACTACTTTTCACAGGGAAATATCCACTGCAGTTTCACTTTCACTTTTTTCAGACTGAGCAATGAAGGTATCTTATTCATGAGAGTGAATAATTTTACAGCTCGTACACTATTTAGTAATTAAATGTAAACGGCAAAAAGTTGCACTGGCCAAACTGTTTTTTTTCCTGCAGTGAAGGGATAACGTCAGCTGGTATGCAATTTCCATTAGGACCCTGCTTACACTGAATAGGACCCTTTATATGAAAACATGCAGGGCTAACACTGAAACCAATCGATCATTACTGTATACACTGTCATCGACAAAACCAGTGGCGCTCTCGTGTGCAAACCATTAAGTCGCCGAGACTGTTTGGGAGTTCTTGGTCAGGCTACCTATCTGTCCATTAGAAATGTAACAGGTAAGTACTTTACCTTGTCTTTGACGTTTCAATCACTATGTATTTTTCCCCGTTCTATTAGGTCTCATCCCACATACAAAACATTTTCTGCTTGGATACATAGTCAAAGGAGAGATGCCGTTTACAGGTTTTGATGCCGCAGCGGTAGCTAACATATTTGCCGGTAGAGTCTTTGCCCCGACAGTACTTCAGGCCACAAGGGTACCAACCCACAGTGAGACTATAGGTACACAGACACGGCTTGGTGACGTCCTCCACCAGGTGGCAGTGCTGGTATTTTGTTGGGTAAAGTCGCTGGACAGTGCCCATTAGGCCATCTCTCCCTGGGGCTGCAACAAACACCACATAAACACTGACAACAAAGAAAGGTATGTGACAAGAAAGCAACAAAATTGTGGTTTACAAGAAGGCAGCATTCCTTCTCTGTTACTATCATACACACATGAAGGGCAGCAGCCTCGTGGAGGTTACTTGAATAAGAAACATGATCAAAATGATAGGGAAAATATTCCCTCCCAAGGCCTGTAACAAACATCTATACTGGTCACACATACAGTTACATGTAGTTAGACAAGGAAGAAACAAATACAGGTGACTAAAATATTACTTTTAGTCTTTTCTCACTACACTATTCATTGCTTGACTCCGACCGATAGTCTGATGTCACTTTCCTTGGTGTTGATGGTGTTGACAGCATCACTGTACTATAAATGACTTACCCCTGGCCCAGAGTCTGATGTCACTTTCCTTGGTGTAGATGGTGTTTACAACATCACTGTACTATAAATGCCTTACCCCTGGCCCAGAGTCTGATGTCACTCTCCTTGGTGTAGATGGTGTTTACAACATCACTGTACTATAAATGACTTACCCCTGGCCCAGAGTCTGATGTCACTGTCCTTGGTGTAGATGGTGTATACAACATCACTGTACTATAAATGACTTACCCCTGGCCAAGAGTCTGATGTCACTCTCCTTGGTGTAGATGGTGTTTACAACATCACTGTACTATAAATGACTTACCCCTGGCCCAGAGTCTGATGTCACTTTCCTTGGTGTAGATGGATTCGGCAGCATCACTACAGGTGTTGGTGAGATGTGGAGAGATGAGTCCTGCCCGGTCCAGGTACACCTGAGTGTCCATTGTGTGTAACTCTGGGGGGCGTTCCTCTTCTGGTTGACGGATGGCTGTTGGATTTTTCTACAACAAACAACAGCCAGGTTCCTGTAGTCTATACGGATGTATGTTGAATACAAATGATATCACTTATATGATACACCGTCAGGAAATTCTCACTTAAGTTCATTGGTTATTGTAACTACTAAAAAATCTTAACCCTTTCACCACTGTAGACTATAATGGACTCAGCCAGATCGATGTCTGGTAGAGTCTACTAAAGTTACCTAGGAGTGAAAGGGTTAAAACAAGATTTTTAGGAAGTTATATGATCAATACTGCATGACCACATATAATACTTTGTATGTTCGTGATTAATCATCAATAAATGTAGTTATTTTTAAGACAGTAAGTGGTGATTGTGGTAAAAATTCTGGGTATTAAACTGTGTTAGTAACTTTAATTATCACCAATAGAAACTGATGAATCATATAGTCTGAACAATACAAATATTTTTTATATAAGCAAAAATAACAAAAAAGTCAGAGTAAAATTATAATATTTTATAACTGATATCTATTCATCTCGACTTATTGGAATACTCATTAAAACAATATAGAAAATATTCAGTATATTTTACAAAAGTATTACTTATTTGGCACTACTCTTGTGTTCTAACAAGGATGAATTGTGGGATTCCAATTTCCATGTCTACGAGAGTACATACCTGTCGCAGTTTTGACATAGCATCTGCAGATATAAACTCATTCTTGTTAAAACGAGTTACAAAACAGAGGACTTGTGGTTTGTACTGAGAAAATCCCTGCTCTTCTTCCCACAGGACATGAGCTCGAAAAACTTGGGCCTCCTACAATTAGAATTGGTGCTTATTATAATATAAAATATTAATTTGATCACTGTAATTTAAAGAATAACTGGTTTGTATCCTAGCAGAATGTGTATATATTAATAATCTGAGTAATCATTCTCTGAAAGTAAAATGCTGTCCTTTGTTGTTTGTAAAAGAATCATTTTTAGTACATAAAGATAGATGCCAGAAATTATCAACTTTTTTGGGGGGACTATAGTTTTCCTCTCCGTCCGTCTGTGTACGTACAATTATGAATAGAACTAATAGTCAATCACTATTTAGACAAAAATAGGCATACACTAAATATATACATGGAACATTCAATTACCCAGAAATAATAAAAGGTTAAAATTTCATCAAAATGGTAACTTAATTTTAAAAAACCAAGAACAACGAAACTTGAATACAAATATTTACACATATATATATTCGTAAGTTTTCAAAATACTAGTATAACTATGATGCTTAATTAGTTGCTGCTCGTGATCTCCTATATTCCAATACATTATTCTAGAAACAAACAGAAATATTGTCAATGACCCTTTTTTTTAAAAAATATGAATTGTTATGTAATGTCTTTATATATGTAAGTTCTAACAATACAACAAAACATATAACAAGTACAAATGGTAGTATATGAGAGTGAGTGATTGTAATGATGTTTTGTCCGTTATTGTCCTATCTAGCTACCACTAATGAAATATTCCAGCACTCTTCCCAGACATCGTTTACTTGTTAGTATATTGTTGTCAAGAAAAAATATATGGCGAGGTTCATCAAGAAAAGCATTTCACTAATGTGTATCCATTCGTTTACTGTTCCATTCGTGAATGAAACATAGCTTGAGTTCCTATTCATGTGGTGCAAAATATAGAAAAAAAAACAGTACACTTTTTCTTTGAATGTCCTCTTTATAGGTATTTTAGGCAACACATCTTCTTTGTGTATAATCTATTAGGATTTGTAAATCTTCATGTTGTCATGGTGTCGTTGATATGTCTAACGAAACTAATAGAAATATACTTAATCATACTAGTTCCCATAAAGAACTATCCTCAATTTATAAGTAATATCTTTATACATGCAAGTTCAAACGATATAAAATATACCAATTATGAATGGTAGTAGAAAGTGCGTGAGCATATGTGCTCGTTCATTATAGTTAATAAATAAAAAAAAATCGTTATTGTCCTAGCTATCTTCCACCCATAACTTCAATACATTAATGAAATAAAAATGATTGAATACCAGTATCTATAGGAAAAGACTTTATAGATTAAGCCTGTTGTCTCGTCCCTTTGTTAATACATGTATTGTTATATTTCTTCTATAATAATTGTATTTATCTTTGTTTTCATTAACAATGAAATATTTTGAAATGAAATGGTTGAATCAAGGATTTCCAAATAACGACGATCTTGCCAAAAAATACCCAGGTCCGCACTACATTGTTACTTGTATTGGGTACATTTAACTTTATATTGGATAGTATTGGGTAAATCGATACTTGTATTGCATAATTGGGTTGCATTGGGTAGTATTGGGTTGCATTGGGTAGTATTGGGTTGTATTGGGTTGTATTGGGTAAATAGACACTTGTATTGGGTTGTATTGGGTAAATCTTTCACAGATAGATGTATACAAATGTGTTTTGAGGAGTTCCTGCATATGCTCTCAAGTCAGAAGAGTTCAATCCTGTTTTGTTTTTAATTGACTTACAGACTTGTAGTCAATGAACTGATGTACAATAGTGCCATCCGTGTTCTGGAACTGGAGTTGAACGACGTCGTTCGATGTATTTGCCTGGATGGTTTCAATTACAACATCTCCTCCACGGTTTTTGACATTGACAACCAGCTGAGAACTTGTTTGTTGTAGGAAAAACACAAACGATATTAACAGAAATACCTCAAGCAAAGTGTCCATGATGGACGATGGAGGACACTGACAGTCGTCCGTGCGTTTGCATTTGCAGTAGTAATATTTATCAAGTTTTAAGCGTGCAAAAGTCTAAGATTTTTTGTCTTTTGTCATTCGGTACCTCTTTCGTCATTGTCCAATAATTGTATGAAAAAATCCGAGGAGTTCGAATACGCGGAAGTAGATATTTGTTGTGCCTTGTGACTACGAATCATCAGGCATTATTTAATCAGAACCAAGTTGTCAGGCGAAGTGTCACAGTCACGAAAAGATTACACAGGTACGTCGACGTCTTATGATATCATAACTTTATAAGAATGTTGAATAATGGACACTCATGCATTTCATTATTTAGTCTATTGTAGTCCTACAAGTGTGTGCACAAGTGTGTGCATTTCAGTATTTAGTCTTTGAGTCTTTAATCTTATCTTTGTAAATTTTCAAAAGAGTTGTCCCATTTCATTACTTCGCAAGTGTTAAATTTAACACAGTTCTAAGTTGTTATGTTGCTAGGACATCATTAATGCAAAATAAAAATAACAGACGTGTTTGAAATTGACAATAAATAGCCTGATTATTAGCTGTCTCTATTTACGTCTGTGTACATACACTCACGTGAACTGACAGGGAGGCCAGTGTTTGTGGTATACCAGGGGTTTAAATAAGTATATAACACTAGCCAGTGAGTGATCATTACAATTCTAAAATATGAAGTTACCCATATGTATGTACATATACATGTAGATCAGAGCTGTGACTATTTCCTTGTCAATATTAATTATTCATTTCTTGTTTCGAATATCTAATATCCAGTCTGATCTGATCTTGTGTGAAAGTGTCGGTAATTATTGCCAGTTTCGCTTGAATATAACTGATTAGGAACACGTTACCCAAAGACTCAATTGGTATATTTTTTTTACATTGTTATTTGTTTTAATGATCTGGTAATGTTTTTGTAAAATATTAATTGTTTTGATGACTTACAGTTTGCATGTTGATGAAAGAGATTGTCTGTCAATTTTTGAAAAGTAAAATATAGGCAGAATGATATGCCAATTGAGTTTCTGCCCTTCTTATTACATGATAATTATATAAGTATTTTACCCGGACTTAATCAGTTGAGAAGCAAAATTACTGTTCTTACCCTAAACATATTAAGATATCAGAATGTCAGCCATTTAACATTTTCTAATAGGAACAACAAAAATGCTTAAGCTGGTTTGAAATGTACAAGGACGTGAATGTAACTGGGCAGAATACATTATGGATTGTTACTTTTAAAGTTATGTTTTTGAATTTGATATTGAAAAATTTAAAATGACTTATGCAAATTTAAATCATACTGGTTCCTAATTATTAGTATACCTCAAACTAGTTACATAGCTATATATAAATGTAGTTGTTTGTGAGGCCTGTATCAATAATTTATTGAAAACAATTTGGGAAAATAAGAATATTTGCTGAATCTTTCAAAATTATATAGATAAGCCATAATAGACATTATTTGTCATTTGGTAAGTTATGGATTAGGGGGACAAGAAAAATTATTTGGGGGGGGGGGGGGGTTGCTTATTATGTTAAAAAGATACTACAATGTGTAATGGTTTGGTTACAGCAAAGATATGAAACATATCAAATAGACATGTTCTTTAATATTTCAGAATCAAAGATCATTTGATGGAGTCAAAACTTTCTCAATAGTCATTGAATATTGAAAAAATGCTGAATTCCTATGATTAAATGTAATTCAAAATTTCAATGAACTATTTTGAGATCGTATACATCCGACCAAAAGTTATACCATATAAATACCATTTCAGTAGATAAAATAACACGTTTGTAAATATACACATGTTGTGAATTTTATTAATGCACTTGTTTAAACAATTTAGCTTTTTGAATAAATGCATTATAATGATAACAATAATTTACAAGTAGAATGTACACGTATATTGAGACATAATATGTCAGGATTTTAAGTCAACTTTCTGGTTGCGGACAGATTTTGACATATAACACATGATGCTAATTAAAGGGTGCAAGGGTACACGTTACAAGACCGCCTGCACTCCACGATTAAATCTTCACACACAGGATATTTGTTAACCAATTCCAATTACAAGGTCACAGGGGTCAAAAACGTTGAAAACCTATAAACAACTTCTTTTGAATAAGTCAGAGGCCTGTGGTGTTTATATTTGGCCAGTAACATGCTGGGATGAATGCCTAAGTTTGTTCAAATGAATGAACTTGACTTATATTCAAGGTCACAGGGGTCAAATATGTTTAAAACCTTTAAAACAACTTTTTCTCAATAGCCAAGAGGCCTAAGGTTGATGATATTTGGCCAGTAACATGCTGGGACAAAGTGATACGTTCGTTAAATGAACCACTTTGACTTGTACAAACAACTTCTAAATAATCTAAAGGTCTAGGGTAATAATATTTGGCCAGAAGCATGCTGGTATGAAAGGCTATAAAGTCTGTTCAAGTTAATATCCTTGTTTGACTTTCAAGGTCACATGTGTCACATATTTTAATCTTTAAATAGATTCTTTTGAATCAATTACTGTTATTTTGCCTGTAGCATTATTTTAGATAACAAGTGTAAGATTAATACCAGGTTAGCGAATCAGGCCCCTTTGGCCTCTTGTTTTGGGGCGAACTGGTTGGGGTGATATGAATCAAATTTTGGGCGTAACGGTTTTGGGGCGAAACGTCTGACACCCAGCTCAGATGTAATACCTAACATTTTTCATTTATGTAAATAAAAATGAATATTGTCAAAATTATCTAAATAAATCAAATCAAACTAGAAGTTTGAAAAACTTGTTTCGTAATTCTTGTAAAATGAAATAACATGTGTAAGGTAGCAGTGTTCAGTAGCGTACGGTGGCCATGGGTGATATTTTTGTACAATGTATAACCCATGTTATATAACATGTATCAAAGTTTTTAAAAAAAAAAACACTAAAATTGGCATATACATGATGAAGTGGACTATGTGGGCTTCACATTTTAAAAAAATCCAGTTGAACGACCTATGCTAAAATGTGATATTCATTTAAGACAGGTTTTAAGAAAAAAAATACTACTTGCATGGGTCAAATTTTGGGTTAAAAATCATGTTTTTTGGCATTTTTTAGCATTTTTTGATGTGTTAACCATGGTTTTCACAAGTCGCTAATCTGGGGAAAACACTTTTTGAAAAAAAAAATTCTTCTAAAAACAATGTATTCAAAACGTAGTTTATAAATATATATATATGTAGGTGTGTTGTGCAGGATAAATCTGCTATCCATGTTTATCTGAGACATGCCCTTTATTTTTTAGGATCAAGTCATTTCTACTGTACTCTGCTACCTAAGTTTATTTTATAAGTTTGAAAGAGTTGCCCAAACATTGCACAACCATGTAAAAATAAAACACTATTGGGTGGTACAGTGTAAGTATATCACAGCCGCTAGCCTCACCTGTCAATACACTTGATAGATAACACGGCATTATAGATTATTTTAGATGTATTGGCAGATGAGGCTGAGCGGCTGTGATCAGAAGGGATGAGTGTATCACTTGATATACTTTGTTAAACACTATATATCTTTGATTCATTTTCAGCACAAGAAATAATCAACATGGCAGATAAAAGTGGTTACCCTGGTGGGAACATGCCCCCAGCTTATCAGCAGCCTCAAGGAGCTTATTATCCCAGTGGGCCAGTGCCACCCCCATACAGTGCCGCACCACAGCCAGCTTACCCAGCCCCAGCTGGGGTATGTAGCGCCATAATGTTAAATTTAGCATTACAGCACAGACTTATTATCTTATTGTTTGATTAGAATTAGGGACTTAACAAGTACTTAAATTAGTGTAACCTATCTACCCAAAGTGCATGTGATATGGTCTTTATTAAAAGATATTTTTTAAAGATATAATATATATTTCATAAAATTGAAGATTTATTATTTGATAATCAGCGCTCGCTGGAATCTAGCTGAATTCAGTAATTTTTACTCAGTTCATTTATTGATTGTCCTCATTTCTTTTGGCAGCCAACCATTATAGTCCAGCAGCGAGTGGTCGCACCACCACCGAAGAACTCAGTAAGTACACACTCCTAAGGTAACCTTGACATGACCCTTGACCCCTATGGTGTCCGCTTGTGATGGAAATGTACAATATTTCAGACTTGAAGCCTAGCTGTGGTATCTATGATTGACATGATATTATATAATTCTTTAATTAAGAAAATATACTCCCAGTTGTGAGTCTGAACATCCAAGAATATTTTATGCAAGATTCTTTTGATATTGTCAGATATTTCAAAGTGAAATCAACCTTGTGTGGTTAATTTTCCAGCATGGTATACTTGGGTTCCTGTCCAAGGAGGTGGACGCCATGGGGAGGATGACTGAGCGCGAGATCAACTGGGTTGCTAACAAGGCGGTCGGGCATGTAGACCAGAACGCTATCAGCCCAGTATTGGTAAACTGCTTATACTACTTAACACTAGACAGGTCCCATGGTCTCTTACTAAAACAAATATAAATTTTATTTATTTTACATCAATTATGAAACAAGTTATTACAACTTATATTAATTATTCTTTCCGGCCCTGATGTTAGCACGCAGGGGGTCTTAATGTGGGAGGAAACCAGAGCACCTGAAGACAACCCACATGGTTGGGCAAGTGACCCCATAACTTTTCACATTTGGTCTCTCACTAGACAGGTCTCCATATACAGGTCACATGGTCCATCAAGAGATAGTTAGCAACAGTGTACAATTTCATATATAGAGTGCACAAACAATTCTAAACAGTTCTGCTGGCCCAACATAAAATTCATATTAAATACTGAAAATTTTCACTAGCTGTAACATGAAATCTTTTAGCCCCAGGTATAAGATTAGTGGAGTTGTCCCTGGGTGGTAGCCTGAACTACAGTTACAGTTACTATTTTTCTTGTATTTACTGAAGTTTAGGATTTATTTACCTGATATTTATATTGGTGTAAAGGAAACCAAAAGGCTTTAAATATTCAGCTTAAAGCAAAATATATGTGTAAGGAATTTAATAAATTTCTGATTAAAATTTAAAATTCAGAATTATAAAAGAAGTGGATTTACCTTAGATGTCGGCTTATGTTTTGAAATAAGATTTCAATGTGAGTAATATTATGTCATCATATTGCAGCTTTATCTAGCAGGATCTTTTTGGTGTTTAAAGTACCGTTTTTTGTTAAATAATGTTGTTTGACTTTCATGATCAATTTTCACATTTATTTTATAATATTTATGTGAAAATCTGGTAAGAAATCCTGTATGTCGTTTTATCATCATGATTAAAATTAAATTTCAGGACCATTTCAAGACCAATAATATTGTCCAGCTTATATCTCGAGCCAGTGGCCGAACCTTACAGATTGTGGCTGCTCCTACTGGTCATTTAGTTGTAGATGGGGCAGGTCTAGAGGGACCAAATGTGCCCAATGGTGAGTATTTAACCTTTAGGGGCAAACACCCGAGAGTCAATGAATTCCGTCTCTGGTATTGCAGAGTTATCTTCTCTTGGGAGCAGGTATTGATTGTTACGTCATTGGTTTGTGCGAGAAAATTACGTCGTTTTCTCAAAAATTGATGACGTTACTCTCATAAATAAGTGACGTAACAATCAATCCCTGCTCCCAAGAGAAGATAACTCTGCAATACGCAAAGACGGAATAGTGGGGAGAAAAACCCACTACAGTGGTCAGTAAGGGCCATAGGTCAGTGATTTTATTGCCGTTTTTACAGCCGAATACAGCTGGATGCTTCGATGTTAATTCCCTATAAAAAAATGCTCTTTTTTTCATCAGCAAAGAAAAAATGAGATATATCTCCCCAGTTTCAAAACAATAAAGCTATATTTTCCCAATTTATATAGGAAAAGGCTGTTGTTAAAATTTGATGGGAAAACACTGTAGATCAGTAATAGATGATACACATCTTATATTTAGTGTTGGTTGTGTTCTTATCCTGTTGTAACAATGTCATGCTATTAGCATTGTAATCATTAATGGTATTCTTTCATGTTTTCATCAGAAGTACGTAATTAGCCATTACTGAAATGTCAATGTAAACATTATTTTAACAATGAACCTATAGGATGATAATGTTGAATACTTCAATTTTCTATAGCGGTCTGGACTGTGATTAACGAAGGGAAAAACCAGGTGCGCCTTCACAACAACAACAACTACCTGGCCATCGTCAACGGCAACACTGTCCTTGTCAACATGGTATGTTACCCAATCACAAGTTTACACAATAATACAATGTAGGTCCTGGCACAACTCTCTGAGGTGCGGTATTAAATGGATTTCACTCTCTGTTGATGATGCAGTATGATATAAACTGTACTTATTACATTTTTACCAGTGAAATATCAGGAATTATCCTTTTTGATAAAAAACTATATTTTCATACACTGCAGTTATGGTACATGAAATGTTATATCTAAACATGTTAAGATATATCACTTATCAGTTTTGTTAGGTCAGAATGGTACTTTCTATTCACTGCATCGATTTTCAGCTTCAAGTTCAGATGAAGCGATGACAAAATTAGTGATTATTTTGGTACACCTTTACAATGTAAATTATGGTGTTCACATAATTTCACAATTTAAATCATTTTTTTTTTTGAAATCTTAATAGAATATCATAATAGCAGCATATGACAGAATCGTTGTCAAGTGTGATGTCATTAAAACCCTGATGTCAACTATTACGCTACTAATTCCACCCTTTTTTGATGCAATAATATTTGCATCATGTTTCTTTGAAAAAAAAATCACTGTTCTGCCATACTCGTGAAATCTATATGATGTTCAACGTATGCTATTTAACTAATGCTTTGATTCATATGCAATACCACACATAGGTCTTTTCTGACCAGTCAGTACAGTACAGTACAGTGTGGGGTCACTACTGTGTGTATAAGTTGGTTGGTTAGTACAGTGTGGGGTCACTACTGTGTGTAGAAGTTTGTTGGTTAGTACAGTGTGGGGTCACTGCTGTGTGTTCAAGTTTGTTGATTAGTACAGTGTGGGGTCACTACTGTGTGTAGAAGTTGGTTGGTTAGTACAGTGTTGGGTCACTGCTGTGTGTATAAGTTGGTTGGTTAGTACAGTGTGGGGTCACTACTGTGTGTAGAAGTTGATTGGTTAGTACAGTGTAGGGTCACTACTGTGTGTATAAGTTGGTTGGTTAGTACAGTGTGGGGTCACTGCTGTGTGTTCAAGTTTGTTGATTAGTACAGTGTGGGGTCACTACTGTGTGTAGAAGTTGATTGGTTAGTACAGTGTAGGGTCACTACTGTGTGTATAAGTTGGTTGGTTAGTACAGTGTGGGGTCACTACTGTGTGTATAAGTTGGTTGGTTAGTAAAGTGTGGGGTCACTACTGTGTGTATAAGCTGGTTGGTTAGTACAGTGTGGGGTCACTACTGTGTGTATAAATTTGACGTGACGGGGTAAATTTCTGCTTACCAGGCCCTTAGATTCAAAAGTCCTGCCCATCAAGGTCACAATCTGAGGTCGGACAGCTCCTCAGATGAGGACAGACTGTCACAGCTACTGCGGTCCATGGAAAGACATCCTTAGTGTAGTCCTCGCTGTCCTCCTTTGTGTGTTTAAATGTTGTTTGTCCCGAGGAGCCGTGCACCGTTTGATTACGCTACATTTAGTTGTTTATCTGTTCATAGCCCCCAGGAGCCATGCATGGTGTGGATACACTATATTAATTGTTGATCTGTTATTAGCCCCAAGGACCTGTGCATGGTGTGGATACGCTATATTTAGGTATTTATCTGTTAATAGCCCCCCAGGAGCCGTTCATGGTGTGGATACGCTATATTTAGGTGCTTATCTGTTAATAGCCCCCGGGAGCCATGCCTGGTGTGGATACACTAAATTTAGTTGTTTATCTGTTAATAGCCCCCATGAGGCGTGCATGCTGTGGATACACTATATTTAGTTGTTTATCTGTTCATAGCCCCCAGGAGCCTTGAATGGTGTGGATACACTATATTTATTTGTTTATATGAAAATAGCCCCCAGGAGCTGTGCATCATGTGGATACGCTATATTTAGTCGGTTGTCTGTTCATAGCCCCCAGGAGCCTTGAATGTTGTGGATACACTATATTTATTTGTTTATATGTAAATAGCCCCCGGGAGCCGTTCATGGTGTGGATACGCTATATTTAGTTGTTTGTTTGTTCATAGCCCCCAGGAGCCTTGAATGGTGTGGATACACTATATTTAGTTGTTCATATGTAAATAGCCCCCAGGAGCCGTTCATGGTGTGGATACGCTATATTTAGTTGTTTGTCTGTTAATAGCCCCCAGGAGCCTTGAATGGTGTGGATACGCTATATTTAGTTGGTTGTCTGCTCATAGCCCCCAGGAGCCTTGAATGGTGTGGATACGCTATATTTAGTTGTTCATATGTAAATAGCCCCCGGGAGCCATGCATGGTGTGGATACGCTATATTTATTTGTTTATCTGTTAATAGCCCCCAGGAGCCATGCATGGTGTGGATACACTTTATTTATTTGTTTATATGTAAATAGCCCCCAGGAGCCGTTCATGGTGTGGATACGCTATATTTAGTTGGTTGTCTGTTCATAGCCCCCAGGAGCCTTGCATCGTGTGGATACACTATATTTAGTTGTTTGTCTGTTAATAGCCCCCATGAGCCGTTTATGGTGTGGATACGCTATATTTAGTTGTTTGTCTGTTAATAGCCCCCAGGAGCCTTGAATGGTGTGGATACGCTATATTTAGTTGTTTGTCTGTTAATAGCCCCCTGGACCCGTTCATGGTGTGGATACACTATATTTAGTTGTTTGTTTGTTAATAGCCCCCATAAGCCGTTCATGGTGTGGATATGCTATATTTAGTTGTTTGTCTGTTAATAGCCCCCATGAGCCGTTCATGGTGTGGATACACTATATTTAATTGTTCATATGTAAATAGCCCCCAGTACCCGTGCATGGTGTGGATACACTATATTTAGTTGTTTGTTTGTTAATAGCCCCCATGACCCGTTCATGGTGTGGATATGCTATATTTATTTGTTTATATGTAAATAGCCCCCAGGAGCCATGCATGGTGTGGATACGCTATATTTAGTTGTTTATCTGTTAATAGCCCCCAGGAGCCATTCATGGTGTGGATACGCTATATTTATTTGTTCATATGTAAATAGCCCCCAGGAGCCGTTCATGGTGTGGATACGCTATATTTAGTTGTTTATCTGTTAATAGTCCCCAGGAGCCATGCATGGTGTGGATACGCTATATTTAGTTGTTTATCTGTTAATAGCCCCCAGGAGCCATGCATGGTGTGGATACGCTATATTTAGTTGTTTATCTGTTAATAGCCCCCAGGAGCCATTCATGGTGTGGATACGCTATATTTATTTGTTCATATGTAAATAGCCCCCAGGAGCCGTTCATGGTGTGGATACGCTATATTTAGTTGTTTATCTGTTAATAGTCCCCAGGAGCCATGCATGGTGTGGATACGCTATATTTAGTTGTTTATCTGTTAATAGCCCCCAGGAGCCATGCATAGCCGTTCATGGTGTGGATACGCTATATTTAGTTGTTTGTCTGTTAATAGCCCCCAGTACCCGTGCATGGTGTGGATACGCTATTTTTAGTTGTTTGTCTGTTAATAGCCCCCAGGAGCCGTTCATGGTGTGGATACACTATATTTAGTTGTTTATATGTAAATAGCCCCCAGGAGCCGTTCATGGTGTGGATACGCTATATTTAGTTGTTTGTCTGTTAATAGCCCCCAGGAGCCGTTCATGGTGTGGATACACTATATTTAGTTGTTTATATGTAAATAGCCCCCAGGAGCCGTTCATGGTGTGGATACGCTATATTTAGTTGTTTGTCTGTTAATAGCCCCCAGGAGCCGTTCATGGTGTGGATACGCTATATTTAGTTGTTTGTCTGTTAATAGCCCCCATGAGCCGTTCATGGTGTGGATACGCTATATTTAGTTGTTTGTCTGTTAATAGCCCCCATGAGCCGTTCATGGTGTGGATACACTATATTTAGTTGTTTTTATGTAAATAGCCCCCAGGAGCCGTGTATGGTGTGGATACGCTATATTTAGTTGTTTGTCTGTTAATAGCCCCCGGGAGCCGTTCATGGTGTGGATACGCTATATTTAGTTGTTTGTCTGTTAATAGCCCCCAGGAGCCGTGCATGGTGTGGAGACACTTCTACAGCTGTCCTTGGCTGGTAGACAGTTTGTCACCATCATGTCTAAGAAGGTGGGTGGACAGTATGTTGGTGTGATTCCCTCAGGACAACTCAAGTCTGCCCTCGCCACAGGAGGTGGTGACCACGGACAGTTTGGTGTCCGACTCATCGTAAGTATCACAAAGTCACTACTGTATTGTTAGATGTTTATATAATTCCTTGACGACATAAACAGATAGTAACAACTTTTAGGGTGTATTAAGATATGGTGTTGTTAGGTCAATAATATGTTTTAGTTAAGTGATTAAAAAAGAAAAATGTGGAGTGTGTTTGGAAATACATACTGAAAAACTGTGGATATGCGAAATAGTTTTACATTACATTTTGTAGATTTATTATTTTCAAGTTAACACAGAATGAAATAAATGTTGTGAAATGACTGTTACCATTTAAATATACTGGAACAAAGATTATGCCTAATTGAGAGGAATTTATTTATTACCAGAAAACCAGAAAAAATCCATCCACAGTTACAATACTGGCTAGTATAACCCTATGCTTTAGTATAACCCTATCCTTTAGTATAACCCCTTTCCTTTCTATCCGCAAATTTGTCTAAATCTACAGTCAAGAGTTATCTGAATGTGTGACATTTCTTTTACAGTACTCACCTTACCCACCTCAAGCTGGACTCCCCAGAAAGTAAAAGGTCAAGGGTGATAGGTCATCTGTTACAGTGACAAGGTGACTTCCATCACAAGGACATTGGACGACCTTTGTTAAAAGGTCACTGTGACTTAGTTCTGAAGACACTCTTCTGATTTTTTTTGATTTTGTTAATGTTCAAGTTTTGTTTGATCAGCAATATTTTGTTTTTATTACAAAAATGGTTGAAATTGATTGTAGATATTTTTTGCTGAGCCATGGTTTTAGTATGTGGTGGGATGATCCCATTCACAAACAATTCCTCTGCTGGACAGTCAGAAGTACTAGTGCAGTTGTCTGTTTATATTTTAGCTTATTTTTATGTTTAAAATGCCCATTAACGTTCATCTAGACAATCGTATAGATCTGATCATTGACTTTTACTATTTGTGAAATGTAACATATAATAATTAGTGACATGTGACAGCTATTTAGTCACTGAAAACGATGACAGTGACTTCATAACTAATGACAAGTAATAGTTCATATTAGAAAAATTAGATTTAGTTAGAAATAAGAGGAATTTCAGTAATCTTTTGAAATTCGTAGTAGCTGCTCCAATGAGATCAAATGAATAATTATATGTATATTGTCCTTCCACCACAATATGTCTGTAGTGCTGTGTCACTTATCACTGTGAACAAATGTAATGGAAATGTTTATGATGGTGGAAAGCCAAATACACTACACCAGACTGTGACACTCCTACTAAGGAAATAGCATGATGGTAATGGCTTCTAACTAACAAGTAATAATAACACTAATCTCACAGTTGATCATTGAGAGTGATTCACCAAATCAAATATAACATACAACAAATCAAAGGATTAAAGTATATATGCTGATAGGAATCAAATCTTTTCAGTGCATGGACAGCCCAGCATACTGCTTATTGCCAATTTATTTCAAATTCAAACTGAACTAGATCATGGCTGTATGTAACATATCCATTTTGGTATATGCATACATTTTAATATATAGCAAACTTCTATAATAGGTCAGTTATATGATCTGTGGTTAAGTTATCATTTACAATTCAAATTAATTTACTCTTTGATTATAAACCAAAATATATATCTACAAATAATGTGCCTGACTTTATATAGAAAGTATTTATTATAACACATGGTTTTACATATAATATATATATATACATCAATCTGTATACCATATTTCTCCTGCTATAAGCCAAGGAACATTAACTCTAACTCGGAGTAGGGGTGGGCTTATTGCAGGACAATGAAACACCATTTGTTAGCATTTCTACTGGACTGTATTTGACATGGGTGGGCTTATTACCAAGCATGGGCTTATTGCCAGATGCATACAAGCTATATAAACTAAGTTCTAATACTGCAAGTTTCAAGAGTTCATTTGTGTAAGATTTTCGAGCAAGCCCGACCTCCACACCCCACTTCCAGAATAGAGATTCTGTCGGTGGGAACAGCAATTACTTTCACTGATAAGTATAGTACATTGGGGAGTTAAGGGAGGAGGTTCCCTTGTAGGCATGGACCGCAATCTATCTGGGGTTTTTTCTGGGATTCAGCAGCCAGAAACAGTGTATGTTGTCTTCAATATTAGGTGTTTTTCAGTGCTTTACTCTGTGCATTTTATGTGATGATAATACATTGTTTTTCCTTATTCAAAAGTATGTGTATATCTGACATCCTGTGATAACAGATAGGTTACTGTGATATTTATTCGGACATTAAATTTGACCGTCATTTTTTTTTTTTTTTTTTTTTTTTTTTTTTTTTAATTTGTCAATAAATATAATTTGTATGAATTTAAAATGAAACTCCTTTGACAAAAATAATATAAGTAATTACACGTATATAAAAAAATGACTCTTGTTGACCCGGATGGAAATGTACAGCAGGACATGGTAACATGGGAGTCCTAAAATCAAACCAATATGGTGGAGTAGTTGACCCAAGGCGTTTTCAATGCAGCACGATTCCACACCTGTACTTTTACATCTTGATCATTGTATATTGAAGTGTGATTAATAACACATTGTCAAAAAATATCCTAAACATGAAATTCCACTACTTTGATCACACACTGACATACAGATCATTGCATCTGCTGTTATAGGAGTCCTGTACAACCAAATACAGTTTTGAGAAGATACCAGGTAAACACTGGGGTCCTGAATGTTTTTTTGATTTTATCTTGATTTTTCATTTCATTAACACTTCTGATCACGTTTTATGAAGAAAAAAAAGAAATAAATCATAAATCATGAAAACATAAAACTTACAAACAAAATGTTTCACTCAAATTAAAAAAACAAAAATCGTTTTTAAATCACTTGGGAATCTAGAAAACCCCAATAAATATTTTTAACAATAAGGATTATGAACTATTTATTTCTTTGTTGATGTTATTTGATTTCAATTTTTTTTTTTAAAAACCACACCAATACAAACCAAAAATTGTGGTAAACTTCATGCTGAACATAAGTTTATTTCTCAAGAAATTAGAGCCAATTGTGGTTTTGTTGATATATATTGTAATTTTTGTAGCATACTGTACCTTGATTTGTTAACTCGTAAACCTTGCTGTTGTGTATTGATTAAATGAGTCTTTCATTCTCACAAACACCATTAGAATTTTTGTTTTGTGTATTGTAGATACAATTTGGTAATCTTATTTATCACTGAAAGAACAACGAATGTGGTAACAAATCAAATTGTGAACTCTGGTTTCCCTGTTGGTGAAGAGAAATTTAAGAAACAAACTTTGTTTTGCAAAAGATTATTTCAGTCCCATGAGAGACAACAGAAGTCCTGTGTGTTCTGAACAGATTATTGGGTTTCCCTGACCCTCATTGCTGTACAATCATTTAACAGAGTATTTAGTTAAAAAATTCAGGTAAAATGGGTCCTCGTTCACACTTCATTACTGTACAAACTTTTAGCAGATTATTTAACTCCAAACAAGTTTAGCAGATTATTTAATTCCAAACAAGTTTACCAGATTATATAATTCCAAACAAGTTTAGCAAATTATTTAATTCCAAACAAGCAGATTATTCGGGTCCAATGACCTATGTTGTGAATAAACATATTTATTTGTCCTCTGAGCTTTATTATGAATATCAGCCCTAGAGTGTCAAACTAAGCTCCATGTACACATGTAAGTACCTGGTGTAATATTGATACATCACTATAATACTGATAATGTATACATGTACCTGGTGTCATAGTGATATTATTGATACATCACTATAATATTGATAATGTATACATGTACCTGGTGTCATATTGATATTATTGATACATTACTATAATACTGATAATGCAGTTTAAAAACAAGCTACATACATCTGGTTTCACATAAATATTTATTCCAAATTGTGCCGTCATTTTGTATTTCATTAAATGTATCACAAAAACCCATTATGCAGTGGTAAATTCAAATTAATTTGGAAAAAAAAATATCTTCATTAATGGCTGCCAATAAGAATACAGCAAAGCTACATAACTAATTCTAGTAATATGTCTTATCTAATAAATTATGAAAGTGGATATATATACCCAAAGGGAAATTACACTGTATTAGATCCTGTTACACAAGGGGCAATTACTCTGTAAATATCATGTAACTAAAATGGAAATTACACTGTAATAGATCATAATACTTCAATGGAAATTACTCTGTAACAAATCATGGTACATAATCAAGGTAAATAAATAATTAATTAAGACCTCCATCCATGCAATATTGGAAATTATTCCGTATCATGTTATCAAAAGGGAAATTAATCTGTTACAGCTTGATGAAGGTATATTTATATATATACATGTAGAATATAGTACACAAATGGAAATTACTCTCTGTAGTTACAGATAGATCTTCCACCACTCAGAAACCATAGGAAGGAATCTTCTACAAGGTGCGATTGAGGGGCAAGTGCCAACCATGTCATACTCATCTAACCCCTATAACGGCTGAGGAAAGCCAAGCATTTTACTGACTGTGACGGTCTCTTCAAACCACATCAAAAGGCAAGAGATCAACAAATAACACTAAGAGTTTCAAAATTATTCAATCCAAGACAAACCTCTACAAAAATATAATTTTTCCAAAGACTGCCGCTGACTGGAACAAACTGCTGGACAAGGTTGAGTGCAATAACATTAGAGGACTTGAGTTTCCAGCGCACTCCAGCTACAGGATTAGTGTATATCCCTGATCTCCCATTGCGCACTCCAGCTACGGGATTAGTGTATATCCCTGATCTCCCATTGCACACTCCAGCTATGGGATTAGTGTATATCCCTGATCTCCCATTGCGCACTCCAGCTACAGGATTAGTGTATATCCCTGATCTCCCATTATGCACTCCAGCTACAGGATTAGTGTATATCCCTGATCTCCCATTGCGCACTCCAGCTACGGGATTAGTGTACATGTATATCCCTGATCTCCCATTGCGCACTCCAGCTACAGGATTAGTGTATATCCTGATCTCCCATTACGCACTCCAGCTACAGGATTAGTGTATATCCCTGATATCACATTGCGCACTCCAGCTACGGGGTTAGTGTATATCCCTGATCTCCCATTGCGCACTCCAGCTACGTGATTAGTGTATATCCCTGATCTCCCATTACGCACTCCAGCTACGGGCTTAGTGTATATCCCTGATCTCCCATTACGCACTCCAGCTACGGGATTAGTGTACATGTATATCCCTGATCTCCCATTGCGCAATCCAGCTACGGGATTAGTGTATATCCCTGATCTCACATTGCGCACTCCAGCTATAGTATTAGTGTATATCCCTGATCTCCCATTATGCACTCCAGCTACAGGATTAGTGTATATCCTGATCTCCCATTACCCACTCCAGCTACAGGATTAGTGTATATCCCTGATATCACATTGAGCACTCCAGCTACGGGGTTAGTGTATATCCCTGACCTCCCATTTCGCACTCCAGCTACGGGATTAGTGTACATGTATATCCCTGATCTCCCATTGCGCCCTCCAGCTACAGGATTAGTGTATATCCCTGATATCACATTGCGCCCTCCAGCTACGGGGTTAGTGTATATCCCTGATCCCCCATTGCGCACTCCAGCTACAGGATTGGTGTCTATCCCTGATCTCCCATTGCGCACTCAAGCTACGGGATTAGTGTATATCCCTGATCGCCCATTGCGCACTCCAGCTACGGGATTAGTGTATATCCCTGATCTCCCGTTGCGCGTATGTCTACATGTAAAAAGGTCCTGTAAGGTATTGATATCCAGATATACAGCTACTATAATAACAATATTGAATCTTAGCAAATTTGAAGGAAATCAGACGGAAAAACATCTGTCTAAACAAGTTGTTAATGCTTGCATGAAGTATGCAAAGGGCCATAATTACCTTAATAATTAGTTAACACATGTCAGATATTGATACCCATGTAAAATGTACAACAACAGTTGTTTGGTAAACCCAATCATTATAGCTTAAGAAATGTGTCGGTGTCTGTGCGACTCCGTGCATATGTTTTTTCCGAAAGGACCCTGAAACCGTTCAAGGTAACTACTCAAAATTTTGTACAGTTGTCAAGCTAGTACTCTAGTAGTACCTTTTGCTATGGAGAAGTTCCCCATTTGAATACTTTTTCTGTTACCATGGTAACAGATAGGCCAAATTACAAATTTCAGTTGAATGGATTATGACTCCAATGATAACTATCTGAAACTTTGTATAACTATCAAGCTAGCATTCTGGTAGTGACTTTTGCTATGGAGGAGTTCTCATTTTTTTTTAAAATGTTGCCATGGAAAAAGATAGGCAAAACTACAAATGTTGCTGCTTCCAGAGTAAAATGTCAAAACCTTTCAAGATAGAACTACATGTTCCTGAAACTTTGTCCACTTTGTACAAGCTAGCACTCTCTTGGTGCATTTTGCTACTGGAGGAGTTCTTATTTTGGATTTTTTTTTTCTGTTGCCATGGAAAAAGGCAATAATATGAAATTTGAGGTTTCTGATTAGCATGATCTTAAAACTATTAAAAATAACAAATTGAAATTTAACTTGTACACTTATCAACCTAGCACTCTATTGGAGCCGTTTGCATTCAAGATGTATACAGGAAGTTTTGTACACTTATGAAGCTAGTGCTCTTATCAAGCCTTTTTTGATCTACATCAAAATATCAGTAACTGAGTGGTGGAATGGAGTTAATACTTCAGTTATTGTAATATTAACAAATATATATTTAAATATGATTGTGTGTCTTTCTTTTAAGCAGCGGGGCGTGGGGGATAATGTCACGCTTTGCGTTATCTTTGCAGTAGATGTATATAAATTCTATATTACAATAGGCCTTCATTGTGGTAGATGTTCTGGATGTTCGACTAGATATTCAGTAAATTACAGATGTATATAATTCAACAAGGACAATCTTAGTACCGGGGTTAAATCTATGCATAGCTCCCATTTAGGGATATGCCATGTACGTGAGACGGTGACATATCAGTAAATGGGAGCGATGCATAGATTTTATTTTACTAATATGTCACGTACTTGGCATAACACTTAACAGGAGCAATGTGAAGATCTGAATTTGATTAACATTGCAACAAGGAGAAATAATAATAATTGTCATCATTGATATCCCTTGCTCAGTATACAAGTCATGACACCCTGGTTACAATTCATGTAGCATACCTCACTATGATTGCTACAGAGCACCACGTTTCATATTATTAATGTTTCTTACATCAATCAAACCAAAATACATGTATGAATAAAGCAAAGGTATTAACATTATTAGTATTTTCACCAATTATTCCTGAAGAATGCAATCTTGTGTAAAATATATGTTAAATTCATCAATATAGCTGTCTAAATTAACTTTTACAGTAACCGACAAATGACAAAAGATAACCGTTTAGTTCTTAATCACTCAAGTGTAAAATATCAATGAAATTCTGCATCTTTGACATGTGCACTAGCTGAGCCCTAGCTGCCTAGGTATTGTAGTTACAGGTCACATGATACCACAGCTGAGTGTTAAATATGTCATTGAAAGGTCTGCTTTTTATCATATAATACGGGTGCATTTAGATCAGCTTATGCCTATAATCATGTTGGACATGTATATTAAGATCAAATTCTAATTAAATTGGACAGGTATTTTTGTATTCTTGTTTAATTCTGTATAATATCAGACTCGTGATCATGGAAACAGTCATTTTGTCTGTCATAATTAAAGGTCAAAAACAAGAGAACAGAAAAATCATGATCATGACTTTCCAGATTCCAGTTCTTTGACTAGTTTCAAAATGTCTGCTCCAGATTCCCATTCCAGTACATTAGCTTTCAGACTGTACTGTTTATAATTGTCGTCACCAGCGAGAATGGCATTAATCTTCTTCCACATACTAAGATTAACCCTTGGGCAGGCATAATCCTTGTCTGACAAGGTCAGGGAGGGACAGAGGTCATTGGAGCCGTCCCCGACGTACAGCACATGACTGTAGGTACGTCCTTGTTCAGCCTGTTCCCTGATGTGTTCGGTGAGGATGTGACCCTTACACAAGTTCACAGTGCTGAGGTCACACCAGTCCTGGTGGTGGTAAAAGTCAATTCTAAGGCAGCCCTCCTCATCAAACTTCGCTGGGTTAGTGTACACTTTAGAAATCATATTTTCCAGATTGTTTTGTTCTAAGAGATATCTTATAAAGGTGGAGTTGGAGTCTGAAATGATGATGCATTCATGTCCCTGTTTATGAACATGCTCGAGTAGATGTTTAAACCCAACAGTCAGTGGGATCTCTGCGAGACATTGTTTGAAGTCAGGCTGTCTTATACCAGTGCCGTGGAGGAACTCAAAGATGGTGGCCATGTAATCTGTCCAGCCATCATTACTGTATTTGTCCTCAATCTCCTGGGGAAGTTCTCCCCCTGGGGCCAGCCGTTTCACCCATAGGTCACTGTTCTCTTCAACCATTGTGTGGTCAAAGTCAAAAGCCAGCAGCAATCGTCCAGTCATCTACAACACAACAGAATGGTCAATACAGACATTGGCTACTGAATCAGCACAACTCACCATTAATTTGTCTGAAATACTGCTATATATATGTTATATAAGGAAACAGAGTATTTTTAATCTTTCAAAAAGCTTATGATATTTTTTAAATTAAAATTTTAAACATGAAGACACTGATCAAACAGACATCTAAAGCTACATACCCAAAGTCATCCATACCCATCATCCATACCTTAGCTAACATCAACAATCCATATATAATTCACAACCACCATCAATATGTCAGTCACACCCATCAGCCATGTAGACTTTACCTAAGTTATATCCACCATTCAGGTCACACCCACCATCCACCCATACTGACATAGGTCACACAAACCATCAACACATAGGTCTCACCCACCATCCACGCATAGGTCACACAAACCATCAACACATAGGTCTCGCCCACCATCCACACATAGGTCACATCCACACATGGGTCACACCCACCATCCACACATACATATAGGTCACATCCATCATCCACACTTTAGTCACACCCACCATCCACACACACACCATCCACATGTAAGTCATATCCACCATCCACACACCGGTCACACCCTCCATCCACACATAAACTGTAGGTCACACCCACCATCCACACATAGGTCACACCCACCATCCATATAGGTCACACCCACAATCAACACACCCACCAACCAAACATAGATCACAACCATCATCCACACATAGGTAACACCCTCCATCCATCCATAGGTCACAACGACCATCAACACATAGGTATCACCCACCATCCACACATAGGTCACACAAACCATCAACACATAGGTCTCACCCACCATCCACACATAGGTCACATCCACACATGGGTCACACCCACCATCCACATGTAAGTCATATCCACCATCCACACACCGGTCACACCCTCCATCCACACATAAACTGTAGGTCACACCCACCATCCACACATAGGTCACACCCACAATCAACACACCCACCAACCAAACATAGATCACAACCATCATCCACACATAGGTAACACCCTCCATCCATCCATAGGTCACAACCACCATCAACACATAGGTCACACCCACCATTCATATAGGTTACACCCACCATCCATACCTAGATCAAACCCACCATCCACACACAGAACACACCCAATTTCCACATGTAGGTCACACATTTCAACCATCCATACCTAGGTCATACCAGCTTCCCATATACCAATCATCCGTTACCATCATCTGTGCCTTGGGACAGACTAACACACACACCGCACCTACTGTAGACCAACCTCTGTACAAATCTAAATCATAACCACATATCAGTAATCACAAACTATTACATCAACCATATATCTGTGTCACACCATCACCCAATCACCTGCACTTCTATCAAATTACCGTTACCTACCACCCACACACATTACCGCACTCAAATAGATGTTGACACACCCTAGGCTTTCAAGAACTTGCACCTGGCAGTCTATAGAATTATTGCATCCCCCAAGATCTTACCTGCAGTTTAAATCAATTATCATTGATGACTTAATCATTTTCAGATTTCCATGGATCAATAATTAATATAATTGTTATTTGAAGTTGCGATTATTATCAAACACCAGAAAAAATAGTTTTAAGCAATAAGCATCTTGTATAGGTGTTTGAAATTCTGGCTGTAAATTGAGATAAAAATCATATAAAAAATAAGGACATAAGGGGAGATTTTTATCTCAATTTACAGTCAGAATTTCAAACAGCTGTTGTTTAAGTTGTATTGTCACATGAATGAACTACCTCTGCCATTTCCTTGTAAGATTATTACATCGTTTGTATAAACATTATCATTGAACATTCACGTTTCAACCGCTAACAATTGCCATCCATATAACGCCACACACAGTATTTCAATTTCACAAAATAATACATTACATAATTTGATAAATGTTCATATTCATTTCAATGGCAAGCAACAACAAATGAGTTAGATAACACATACTGTATGATATATGCAAGGGATATTTTATAGTCATGATTATTAATAGCCAACAAATGCATTCATTGACTTTGCTGCTGCAGCCTATACTGCCTGGAGCAACACAACAATTCTTGGTGTGGTTTTCACCCAATATTTGTATTGCCGAATGACAACCCATGGCCATATCATGCCAGTAATGGATCTTGTCAACGCATTTTGATATGAATACAGAACCCGTACCTTTTCAATCTTAATGTTATGGCGTCGAGTGATGAACTGTATAAGTTTGTTAATCATTTGTTGCAACACGTTGTTATGTAATCCAGCTCTTAAGATAACAGGTCTTACGTGATGAACAGTCCTAAAACCTTTGGCCGTCGGAAGTTTACGATTAGGGTCAAGGACATTCGCCCCCTGAAGGTAAAGACGGAAGTGACGTCACAATTCCCGATGTTTGTCTTGACAACAGTACCCTGCTAGAAGTCTGTGTGAAATATTAATTCTAGTAGGGAATATAAGGCTACCAAAATGACTACTGTCATGCACGGACGAAGAAAAGGCAGTCCTCAAGGTAATTATATCATTTATGATAGCAAACACTCAACAGAAATATCAAATCGTATGATTTTGATTGATGACACGGTATTCAACACTGCCACCATCTTGGTGAAGTTGTTCAGATGTTTAACAGTTTCCCCGACCATGATTAACATCAAATGTGTTTCTATACATTTTAAAGTCTCGGTTGTATAAGCAATGTTTAAATTATTATATATTGCTCTAACTAAAAGTATATTTTCGCATAATATCATTTATACGGTGAGTTAAGTAATGTATCATGTTCGTCAATTCGCGAACGCTTCCAGGATTTGTCATACTATCAGGTCACAGGATCTTCTTCTTAATACGAGGGCTCCATCAGTTTGATGATTATGCCATCGGGGATCGGGAACAGTGAAAGTATTAAGTCCGAATTTCAAATGTATATAAAAAAAATGAAATAGACTTTTGCTGAAAATGCAGTTCCCCAGGCATAATATCACATATTGTATTTAATGATAGATTTCTGGCACAGGATTTCGTATCCTCTACACCAGACTCAAAACATTATTATTTGTAATGAATAAAAAGTGTTATGATATATAAGAACTTGAATAAGGGTTTCTTATTACAATTATCTTTATATATACTAGATAATCACAAGCTTCATTGGATTGATGACTATATATTTCACCTTATACTAACTCTACCTTTTAGGCAAAGGCCAAAAAGACATGCCCTTCTCAACTGAAAATCTTACACAAGGCATGCATCTAGCTGATGGTACTGACCTCCGACAGGTCACAGTTCTGTCAAAGAACGACTGGGAACGCATTCAGATGCAACTTCATCGCAAACAGATAGAGGAAGAAAGGACAAGGAAAATAAGGGAAGAAAAAGAAGAAAAACAGAAAATGTCAAAGGAAATGATTAAAGACTGGGGAAACACTATTGTAGTAAGTTAAATTATGTCAAATAACTTTCCACAATACTTTATTATTTTATGATTGACTGAAAAAAATAGTTTTAATCCTGGAACATTACAATTTCTTATGATAAGTTTGTCAACCACAGAAAAGGAGATTTTCCATGCTAACTATTCTCTTATCATATTTGTTGTGTAGGGACAGAGGCAGCGTAAACTAGAGGCACGGACATTACGGGAGCAGAAAGAGGAGGAAGAGAGACAACAAGTTGACCTAGAGGAGGCCAAATATCAGTCTCTGCAGCGCAAAGAGGCGATAGAAAAAGCAAAGACACAACAATACTATCAGACTGACCGTGTCAAGTCCTTCCATGTAAGCTAGGTCATGATATAATTTAACCATACTGACCTAGTCAAATTCTTCTGGCTTAAAGCTTCTATGTAAAGCTTCTCAGTCCATTTCGACCATGCAAGTCTTGACTAAATGACCATACAGGTACTTACCTGATCAACTTATTTCATATTAATCATGTTAGTCATCTATTAGTCTTAATAATTGACCATACATACTGACCCGATCATTTTCTTCTGACTAGTGAAAGTCGTAACAAAGGTGATTGCCTTAATGCAAAATGGCGTAAATATTACAAAAACTCATACAATTTGGTTTAAATTTTCAAGGCATTGAAAGGAATTATTCAGCTAAACAGGCTTAGAATGTACAATTAAGACTTGTTTTGATGTGGTTAATATGTTTTTGATATATGCTAATGGCTTTTCAAGAGTATATACCGGTAAATATTTTCAGGATTGAAAATTTATGAGGCAAAATTAAGAAATAGTTTTAATTTACTGAAACTGTGATTTATCTTCTGATGTGTATTCGTTTTACTTTCCCAGAGTGCTCTCATGCTGACAGAAGTCCTGAAGGAAAGAGAAGCTCAGTTAGAGCTTAAGAAACTGAAACAGAAAGCCAACGAGGGTCAGGACATTGAATACTTGAAGCGGGCCCAACGAGATTATGATGCGGCAATACAGGTTGATCAACAGAAGGCCAGGGAAAGGATCCAGGCTTCTAAACTAACAGCACATTTCCAAATCTCACAGTATGTGTTCCAGATTTTTTCTATCATTACATGACACACACACAATTCGTATATCATACATACATTGTATACACACTAATATCATACATATATTGTATACACACTAATATCATACATACATTGTATTCACACTTTTAGATCTCAGTTTGTTCTCACACCCTTAAGCATCATTCCTTTAAGTAATGTCTTCCTGATCTTTTTTCATGCATCAAGACCTACTGCCTGGCCTTAGTTTAATTACCATACAGTTACAGATTTCACAGTTCTTTGTTATACACAGCTCAAAGTATTTCACATTGTTATTACAAACACGCTTACTCCTATATCATTACATGACACACTTCCAGATCTCATATAATATATGTTGTTACAGGGTGGGAGAGCACATGAAGAGCAATGAGATGGTTAAGGTGGAGGATCGTCTAGAGGGGGAGGAGCTTAAAAAGCTGGCATCTCAGTACCACGTGGAGAAAGAGCACCTTGTAACCATCAAGCGGGACGAGAAGGCACAATTATTGAAGGACAACATGTCACAGATTGAAAGCATCAAGAGGATGAAGCAAATACAGCTCCAACAGGAGGAGGTAATAGATGCTGTTCTTGCATCCTCACAAAGCTTAATTAAAGTTATATGATTATCAGAGAGTGACTTGTAAGTCAGTGTAGTATAGTCAGCAGTCACCAGTAATTGATTACAATGTAAATTCATAATTAAAGTAGTTATATGAAATTAATACATATCAATGTATGTATAAAGTTCAGATTTTATTTTTACCCTCACATGTGATTTTCAATTTCGTTATCATAATAGGAGGAAGATGAGGATTGTCGTATCTTCGCAGCTGCTAAGAGAAAGATGATGAAGTTGCGGGCAGAAAAGGAATCAGAAATCCACATGTAAGTCCATTAAGTCTGAGATCAGTAGTGTCATGTATTCACCTGGCTAAGTATATTAGTATATGTTATTGAAGTCAGATGAAACATAAGCACCAATCAAGTAGATACCTGTGTGAGATTTCAAATGTTGTGACTGAAATGTTCCCAGGGAGAAGCAGCGTCACCTGGAGAAAATCCGTGAGAAGCTGGGCGCCCAGATGAAACAGAAGGTGAGCGATGAGGATGAGAGGATCAGACGAGCAGTGGAAGAAGCGGAGGAGAGGCGGGGTGCAGAGGAGGCAATAAAGGAGGCCAAGTTACGGAAAATGATGTCAGAGGCTGCGGCACATCGTGATGGACAGGTAGGTCAAGGTTATCCGAGTCCCTAAGTGTCAAAACAAGTTTTGTATTTTTAAGTAATGTCGTTCTTTGGTCAAGGTGAATTTTGTTTTAATAAAGGTCATAATATTCACTACATCAGTCAATTTTGTTAAAGCTGCAGAATGTAAAGCTCAACATTTTTTGACAACATATATTAGCTATAGAATGCCCAGTATCTGGTGACTTCGTCAGCTATAGATTTTAGCTCTGAAAGACAATTGAATGTTAAATTTTGTAATTTCTCCAGATGAAGGAGGCAGAGCAGAAGAAGAAGGATGAACGTCGTCAGGAGCTGGAGACAGTTCGCATCAGAAAGGCAGCCGACGAGATCTTTGAGAGGAACGAAGAGGAGAAGCGTATGAGAAAACGGGATGAGACCACAGGGCTGAAGAACTTCCAACGCACTCAGGGGGTGAGTAGGTTAGAGCGACAAGAGAACCACAGGCCCTTTTAGGTCTTCATAAATTATATAACTGTTGATTTCATCTCATGTCTTCAAAGAAATATTCCGGGTATAATTTCTGTGAAGGGACTGTAATTTGTAAATGTGGCAACTGTCGTTGGTGAAAATATTTACATTGCGACTTTTTGAACTGATCACGGTGTGAAATTTTCCAATGGTAATTGTTCTGTCACCTGTATATAAATATATCAATAAAGTTAATTAAGTATATATGCACGTACCGTAGGTCTGATCATAACCTTTCTGTCTGCCTACAGGAGGAGAGGGTAAGAAATGCACAGGATATACAACAGCAGGCTCTCATGCTGGACAAGGCCAATATGGAGCTGCTCAAGATTGAAGAGGACCAATTCCAGGAGTATGCTGGTAAAGTCATTGAGCACTGCGAACGCGGGGGACGAAATGTGTACCCCCTCCGTAAGGCGGCACAGGCAGGTGCTGGGGGTGGCTGCGGACCAATCTTCAACGGAAAGGGCGGCATCCGACCGAGTTATATGGTGTCTGACAAGTCTGGTAAACAGATGCCACACTACCAGAGGGACACAACTGAGGAAACCAAAAAAACCATTTATGGCAAAAGTGGCTCAAAGAAACGCCTTGGAATGGTATGGTAATAAAGCGATAAAGGAGCTGAAGTTTAAAGAAAATGGATTTTTCAAATGTGGCATTTCTAAATCAAAGGAGAAGAAAATTGAAACATGTAGTGATTAACGTGAAGTCAGAAATCCACTGTGGAAGTTGAGTTTTACATGAACAAGTAAACAAATATGTTGTATTTTTTTTTTTTACCCCAAACCATGGAAAATTAAATTGTGTGGAAACAATGAAGCCAGGACTACATATATATCTGATTTTGTGAGCGGACTCACAAGCATTATCTTCTCTAAAAACTCTGAACAGACCTGTAGTAACTGTTAGGCCAGTGAAGATTAAATGTTGCTAACATTTTTACCCTGATCAGGTTGCTATATGTGTGCTGCAGATACCATTTTCAGTAGTTTATCAGGTCGACCCATAAAAATGTCCAGTGTTGCCGTCCTTAGTACTGGATATAGGATGTCAGACAATCATCTTAACTGTCAACATACCAGGTCAGCTATCGCTTGTACTTCTCTCATCCGTCCAGATGGCTGATGAACAATTTAACATGCCATCAGCATTAAAGTAGAAATGTGTTGTTTAAATTGTCAACAGTAGCTTTTCTTTTTTAACATTCCAATTACTGTTATTTCTAGATATTGATTTCACGTTGAAGTGGCTACGTTTGATCCATTATCAGTAAGAGGAGTTGGTGTATGTTGTTATACATACAGCTATAAAAGATAATGATTCTAACCTTGATCACATTGACTACAGTTAGAGTCTATACACGTTAACTACCCAGCCCACAGCAGTCCTAGTTCCTCAATCCTCCCTACTCTCCTAGGGTCTCCAGACACGAGGATGTACAAGGTCCTCATACAAATATTTTGGAAGTCCGCCAGTTATGTGCACTCTATCTGTGATATATATATATATAATATACAAAAGTATTTTACTGCTATTGAATCATGAAAGGAATAAAAATAGAAAAAAAATGAAATTATGATTGTTGATTATAGCTTGAAAAGTATGTGGAGTATGTACCTGTCTATTATAGTAACTTATAAGTGTTAAGTTATGATACTATATGACTTTGCAGAATTGTTCATTGATAGTCCACAATACAGGTAAAACCATTTATTTACATATATATGGAGAGCTGTTCACCCTATCTCATAATATCAAAACACAAACACTTGATCAACTGTTTTATAAAATTTATAAATCTATAAATTCATAACACCATTCATAAACAGTCACTTTTAACATACACAGTTCGATCAGTGTAACACATTTTCTATGATTGTAATACAGTTAAATAGGTTGCATTGTGATTTTTTTGTGTCTTCTTAAAGAAATTATTTTAAGCAGCTAACATGTAACAAATGTGTCTGCATTGGGATAGAACTACCTGTATTTTCTTAAGTCCTCTGTGTTCATTATAAATGGATTTTCTCCACTTTGCTCATTGTGTTTTGAGCTCAAACCAATTTTCTTTATATCCAATATGGAAACTTTCACATTGGCCACACAGCTGCTGTATTACATAGTTTGTCTAGACACAAACATTTGCTGTTTTAATTTGCTTTGAAACAGCAAACCCAAAACAAGTAGTAATTTCCATGGCACTTCTATTTTTGCGAATCATTTACACTCTAATCAAAACATTCCGACTATTACATGGACTGAAGTTAAAACGGTTTCATTGACCCTGTAATGGGTGTGTGCTTCTGTCATTATAATGGGCGTTTTACTGTCGCTATGATAGGTACTTTGTATTAAAAAATTTGATCGACCCTTTAAATTTAACAGGCGATTAATTAACTGACCATCCAAATATGTCAATCATAAACCAAATATGGAAATTCTCTTAATTTTGAATTTGATGTTAGAACACTATCTGTCCTTGATAAACTCCCATTTCATCAGTATGACAGAAACACCTGAACAGCCTCTGACATGATTTATATATTCATGTGTAGAATTTTAATAGTTCTTTACATCCATACTTTCACAATTATGTACTATAACAGTCATTTGATTAGCTGTACACATATATCTCCATGTTTTATGTCAATGTTTCGTAACAACCATTTATATCTGGGTAATTTTATATAAGTACCCACATTCATTATAACATTTCTTTCATTTTAAAATCAATATTTTTTAATATTCTGATCAACCCAATCATCCAACACTTTTTCATATATATATTAATTTTCAACACACATCACCATCAATAGCTGACAGTTTTACATAAAATACTTACCGGGTACTGTAATTAGCGATGAACAATTTACAGTGACTAAAACAAGCAAATAACTGATAGACTATAACTTAAAAAGCGAAAGGTTAATAAAAAAAGTTCCAGTTAAACCTTGCTCTGAAACAGTTAAGTAATTGTGAGTAATTTATCAATACAGGAGTTGATCGAGCTCATCTACACTGGACTCAAAATGATTGTATAATTTAAAATTACTCGTTATATACTAGTGGTATGGACTTTGCCAACTACATCTAAATGTATAATGTACAATGTTAGTACTCTCCCAACAAATTGCAGCCAAACCTCTCATTTCCAGTGGTAAATTAATTGTCTTCCATCTAGTGGTACATATTAACAATCAGTGATTTTTTGGTTTGTTTGTGTTTTACATCCTTTTACCAGCTATGGTCATTTAAAGACGTGCGTGGTTTTGGTGGTGGAGGAAAGCCGGAGTTCCCGGAGAAAAACCACCGACCTACGGCTAGTACCTGGTGACTGTTCCACGTAGGTCTCAAACCTGCAACCCAGTGGTGGAGGGCTAATGGTAGCACTAGCTACCTTACCACATGCCCACCGCGGCCCCTTACAATCAGTGAAAATAATACATGCACTAATCACTTAAAATTGTGCCCAACATATCTGGTAGAATTTTATTGTTGGCAGTGAAATGACAGAAAAAAAAAGAAGAAACAAAATATATATATCCATTGTTTTGATATGTTTATGAACTGTTACGATATCTATAATTTGAGTTCATGGGCCACTCTTCTCAAATGAACTCCTCATCAACTCCCCACAAATCAACTCCAAAATACATATAAAATATAAGTCACTGACAAGTACCTTATGTGGAATGTACCAATCAGTACTACATCTATAGTAGCACTAGATGTAACAATACACCTAAGCCTGTTCGTTTATGCGGAACAACCGGTATGTCCGTTTTTAAATGTAACATTTGCGGGTATAAATCCTGGCGGACCTGAAAAAGTTTATGCAGGCCTTGCAAGGCTTGGTCAAGGCTCGCCTGAAAGCAGCATCAGATTACTGGGTCTGTCTTCATTTCATAAACGAACAACAGTGGTCCAACCGGTTCAACCGTTTGGATCGCGATAAACGAAAACGGCCTAGGTAATATGTCTACCACATTAACGAACAAAATGTATACTTCTATTGCAATAGTAAGGACTATATTATGTCCTAAGTCTTTGACTCTTCCATCATCTAGAGTACAATGGTTAAAATACTCAAGTGGGCAAGGTTAAACAGCTTATCTAACACAGTTAAAACATAGACTTATATCTGTTGTAATTAATTAGTAACTACACATTTTCTGGCATCCTTATCCATTACCAGGTACTTATATAGCATATTATTGGTAATGGATGATCCACTGTTTTCCGAAAAAACTGAGAGAAATGACTATACATGTATCACATGACTTAGCTATCACATGACTCTCCATAAACAAATGGCAGTAGCATGGAAGCACTACAACAGGTCAAGGGCCAGTCAACTATTTTTATGTTTTTTGATGTTAAAAGTTAATTCATTTTTTTACTCATTTGCGAAATCAAATGTTTGTTCATAAATATGTCCAAATAGGTGAGTTTGCAGAATGAAGTAAGTTTTGTACAGTGAATTTTCCTGCACCATCCACAGGGATGTTACATAGAATTGGTTTTCAGTAAATGCTAGCAAAACTTTTCAATATTTATTACGAAAATATACTATACAGTATATACATAATATACACCCCCTGTTCTATTTGGAATTAATCTTATCATTCACTATCACCTTAGTCTTACAGTCTATTGACTTTTACATAAATCAGTCAAAGGGAGACCGGATAAAATCAGTCGGTAATATTTCTTTGCTACATCACTGCAACACAATCTATCAACTGACTTTTACACAACACCGCCATCCAGAGACCAGAGAAAATCAGTCCGTAAAATTTCCTTGCTACTTCACCGACCGTTTATGAGATGCTGACATGCGGAATAAAATATCTGTGTGGAATGTGTCACGTTCTGAAGGTGTCCCATTTTCTACTCGCACAAGTTCAGATCAGAAAATTTTGTCCTTTTGTAAATTCATTAGGTACAGACCATCATCAATGATGAAACTGCAACAAAACAACAAAGGAATAATTAATTACATATCAGGTATCTTCTATTAAATTCAAAATACACACCTAGAGAAAAAAAACTGATATGCCCTTGGTATCAAACCAATTTATGAAATCACAAACTTAAAGATTGCTGATTTCATTAAGGAATCCTTAATGATACCTGTTTATGAAATGTATTTGTTGATATTTGGAATGACATTATTTAGTTTGGTATGAATAATAAATGCTAAAGTTAACTTTGAACACAAAAAGTAATTGAAAACCTATTGTGCGAGCTTTCAAAACGTCTGTTTTAATTCTTTTGTCAAGCAAAGAGTGAAAAATCTTCTGCACTTTTTGCTTGACAAATTAAAGGAACCAGATGTTTTTGAAAGCTCGCAAAATAAGTTTTCAAATAATGTTATGTGAAAAAACCACTTAGGTGTATTATTGTCCATGGTACTAATCACAAGACAATTATATTTACTGATACATAACTACCAGGCAAAACTTTAACATATTAAACCAAGCCTACAAGACCATATAAGGCTGTCACAACTAATCACAAAAAATAAAATTAGTGTCCTACTTATAAATCAGTTTAGATATACAAAATAATAAATGTCACTATACTAGCAAAGATAAGAACGACTCTTGTGTTACTTGTTATAACAAAATCCTCCATACCTGTACCAGAGGTAACACAGAGGGAATGTGCTGGCATGCCAGAGGGAGTGAGCGTCAAACACCCAAAACAGGGGAGGGAACTCTCCTAGTTCTAGGGCCAGGAGGACATTGAGCCCGAGAACAACAGTGGCACACTGCCAGACATACCGATGTCTGTGGTAACAACACCAAATTAACCAGCCCACCATATTAACACCACCTACAACAAAACATGTTTGTGGTAAGAATATTTTAACAACCTATTAATTCTATGATATTTAATAAGTTTTCAATCTTTCTTGTAGAACACCAGGACTGTAAGATGCCGACTCACGAAGAGTCGAGTTATATAGAATGAGCATTAACAAGAGTCCCAGAGGGCCTGTATCGCTCACCTGGATATCTAAGCAATCATGGCAAAATATTCTCCAAATGAGATCCAAGGGAATATGCCAGACCTCAAGGCCAATCCTTGTAGCATATCTGTATTTGATTTTTTATGCCCAGCAATTTTTTGTGTGGTTATGGGGTGGGGATCTCAACTGTTTCTAAGCTGTGACTCAGAAACTAGGTCCCTAGGGTTGTGGCCAGACCCCAGGATAAATTCTAATATCATGACTGCATTCGTCTCTTTATGCCCAACAGTTGTATATATAGTTTTGGGGTGGGGATCTTAATCGTTTCAAAGTTATGACCCAGGGGTTAAGTCTCCGAGGGTGGGGCCAGACCCTAGGGCCATTCTGGAAGCAAATGTGCATTCCTCTCGTTATACTCGGCAATTGTATATATGGTAATATGGTGGGGATCTCAACCATTTCCAAGTAAAACAAAAAATTGACCCACCCCTTAGCCCGGGGATTCAGCCCCACCATTTGTACAATTTTAAATCCCTGCCTCCCATGAATGCTTCCGACCAAATATGATCAATATCCATGGTATAGTTTTATGGAAGAAGTCGTTAATAGCAATATAGCCAAATTGCCCCCTTTTGGCCCAGCCCTCAGCCCCCTGGGGAGGGTCAGCCCCACCATTTGTACAATTTTGAATCCCCACCACCTAGGGATGCTTCCAGTCAAATTTAGTTAAATTCCAATAAGTGGTTAAGAAGAAGAAGTCGTTTAAAGAAATTGTTGACGGACGGACGGACGACACGGTATGGTATAAGCTCACCTTGGTCCTTTGGACCCGGTGAGCTAATAATACATATTGTACATTATATACAGAAGACAAACTGATTAAATACAAACACACTCTTACTTATTGAAGGAAGCAGAATATACCAAGCATTAGAGGAACATCATTCTATAAATCTTTATGAAGTACAAACATGCAGTCACACCATAGTTTCATTTTTAATATAGCGTTTTCAAATTCTTCATAAGTATATCACCCATCATTAGATGATCAAATACCTCTTTTATGTGGTATGAAATCTCATCATGTTCCTGTAAACATCTCGCAGTTTTAAATAATCAATAAAATCTCACTATAAGTATCTGCAAGCATCCACAGTTTTGACTGCTAAAAATCTCACTATAAATACATGTATCTGCAAGCATCCACAATTTTGACTGCTAAAAATCTCACTATAAATACATGTATCTGCAAGCATCCACAATTTTGACTGCTAAAAATCTCACTATAAATACATGTATCTGCAAGCATCCACAATTTTGACTGCTAAAAATCTCGCTAAGTATCTATGTCTCACAGCTTTATACATTGTAACACTGAAGTGTACCCACGGTCACATTAATTATTATGTTGTATCCGTAATCAAACTTGACCATGCTGTAGGAAGTAGGTATGCCGGAGGAACATGCCCAGTAACACTGAAGCTTACCCACGGTCACATTAACTATCATGTTGTATCCGTAATCAAACTTGACCATGCTGAGGTAGTAGGTATGCTGGAGGAACATGCCCAGTAACACTGCCCCACAGATAGCTGGACGGAGGGGACGGTCTGTACCCAGGACCCTGTAAATAATATCAAATTGATTTTGGTTTAAGTTGTGTCTTTCTGTTTCTTCTTATTACAAAACTTTCATGATATTACACTGTTCAAGTTGTGTTTGTCTGTTTCTTCTTATAACAAAACTTTCATGATATTTCACTAATTGAAAAAGAAGAAACCTAAAAAAGGCCTCTACATACAACTAGGTAATGTTTAACAGTAGATGGGAGGGAAAATACAAATATAATGATAGTCTATCAGAAAAAAAATCTCACTAGGTTTTTTAAGATTTTACTGTTAGTGTACCTACCTACAACACAGGCAAAATAGGTTGGATAGCACTAGAGAAAAGGCACTGAAGTAATCCATCATCTGCGATGAAACAACAGCAATATTAAGTACATGTATCAATGCCATTGTTTCTCTTAACTGCAAACATCCTGCAAAATCTCTAACTTGTTATTAAACGAATTGATAAGTTTGATATCAGCATGCCTAATAATGATATCTTCAATGCTTCAGTAATTCCTCTATTTCATTAATATACATCACAATATCATACCAATGTCTAGATCTCTAACGATATATTTTACAATCAAATCAAACTCTGATAATGCATCATGAGGTACTCTAGACACATGACATGAAAATATAGGGGATGGTGATAGGTGATGAAATTACAAGGTACATGATAAATGTACTATTTTTCATTTTTAATAAGACTTAAACTAAGCCATTTTGTACTTGCATCACTTACCTCTGTCACAGGTGTGTCTCGAGTATGAAATATTGTCGACCAAAACCAAGTATGCATTGAAATCTGCAATGAGCAAAGATATGAGTTTGAAAAATATATGAAACGTTAAAATATTTTATAAGTCTTACATAATCTTACTTTATTTTCATTGAGGAATAACAAATTAAATGTATGGTTGAAGGGTTAAAGTAAGAAAGTTACTACTACACAACATCCAGATACTGTAAAACCTGTCAAGATGTTTCATTATGGACTGTGGACAATAATATAAGCTAAGAGTTTTTTAAACACAAATGTTAATTGAAAACTTATGTTGAAAGCTTCCAAAAATATTGACTGTGTCCATTGTCAAAGGAGAGATTACTATAGTATAGTCTGTATAGACAGATTGCTGTTGTATAAAGCACATATTTTGGAGTAGTTGTGAGGTAATAGTTTTACTAGGCAGTAGGTCTTTATTGAAAGGTGGTCTTCAAGACAATCTTTAAATTCACTGTATATCAATTTGTTTATTTTTCATGTTAAATAAAAGAAAATAACATTTATTGCTTGCTCAAGAGATTATTTTCTGTATTGTTTGGTTATGTTTTCTCTCTGAGTCGTACTAACCACTGCAACACACTGCCACACATAATACATGGGCACGGACGGGGAAACCAGTCGTCTGTAAGTCAGGATACGCAGGTGGAACAACCCATTCAGTATGGAAAATAGTACTGATGCAGGCTCCTGTATTCCAAACAGTCTGATGAATGGCCACTGCAAAAAGAAAAAAATCAATTCTTACCATACAATTTATGAATATAAATTCAGATCTTGAGTTCTGATATTGTACTTGACAAGACATACTGATCGTAGTCAAATCTACTTTATTCCAAGCTATACAAGTACAAAGAATTTCCCGTTCTGGTTATTTTCAAGCATACATTTCTTGTGAGCATGCCCATCAATTTTCCTCATAATAAAGATAACATTTTGTTGTCTTCACATAACATTTTGTTGTCTTCACACGTTCGTTTGCAACTACACTGACCTTTCCATGGAAGTGAGGTGTTCCAATACCGTCCTTTTGGAAGGCATCAACTGTGGTCCACATACAGATATAATTACACTCATCCTCACACGTCCATCGTAGTGTTCTCTGGTGCCAGGGCTGGGAAGCAGAAAAGTGTTCCAGAGCCTGTGTGTCAGTACAGTTATGTTGCATACAGGCGTAGGTGCATCGCTGGAACACATAGGAACGGTCACCATACGACGCATTGGTCAGTTTCACCAGCCACAACACGCCACATGCTGTTGTCAGCAGGCTGTACACAATGGACCTCGCCACAGCCATGCTACTTCTGTCAAGCTTCCCACTTACAGGTCTGTGAGAGTCCTTTGCAATCAACTACATACTCAACTCTGTGGAGGGAAAAATACATAGATAAAAAGTGCAGATTAAACTCTTATGGAGGCATGTACTACTGTGTAAAAGCAAAATAAGGTTTTCTCTAAGTTTATCATGATATCTAACATTGATCATGTTTATACTTTTGAAAAGAATCTGTAGCTCTGAACTGAGTCAATTAAACACTGTGGATGACCAGTTAGGCTACTCCTATAACATAAGAGGCCGCTGGTCGGACTTTTTTCTATCGGATATGAATTTGCCGACTGCGACGCCTGTCAAAAGTATCTCGCCGTGTTGGAGTACAGTTAAGCGTGAGTTATTTGTTTGAAAAACTATAAAAGATACAAGATACAAGAAGCTTTATTTAGAGTCGCATACATATCAACATGGAACATTAGCTCTTGAGAGCTATTATTGCGACAAACAAAAGTATGTAAAATAACAATAACATAATGAAATAGTATTAGTAGTAATGAGTTAATATAAATAGCATAGCAGACAATTTTTTCATTACAGAAAAATACACGGTAATATCACATGTAAGTTAGAATCAATTGCACATTATTATTTTTAAATATTATCATAAGGCTTGACACTTATTTATATTATGTATTATTATATAAAATTCAGAGGTTTGACACATATTTATGAACGATGTGTTTCTACACTGAATGTTAAAACACTATCTGTAATCTATACAAGTGTATTATACATACATGCTACTATAGCAAAGGGTAAAAATTGACATGATTATACACTAACATAGTGTGGATTAAAAACTATGCCACAGATCTGTTACTATTACTAAAGTAATTAGTGTTCGGCATACATGGCCCAACTCCAAGCATAATAATTATACAATGAAGTAGACAATCTATCAACAATAGAGTTTTACAACGAACGTATTTGTATTTCAGATTATAGTTTGCAGTATCTGGTTGGAGTCACTATTTTGCCTAATTCTTCCCCCTTCACATATGAAGGCCTCACACAAAATCATTTCAGTGTCAACAGCTAAATCATGTTGCATATCAAGACAATCATATACATAAATGTGTCAGATTACGAAATCAAATGTTGTAGTTCAGTATCACTAATTATTCCCGGCTCAAACAAGAAGACCATACTTTCTTGACTTTGTTCGCTTTAATCGGCGGCCATCTTGAATGGGTTTCTCAATTTTACAAAATTCATCCGAAACGCATTTGTTTGTAGATACGAAACATAACGTTATAATCCGGCCCTTATAATCAAAAGAGTTAAGAAAATGAAAGCAATGTTGCTTTAAATATGATCACTTCACAACTATCCACAAAAGGAAACAAAATTTCGTTTTAAGTTAAAATCTGATATCTTAAATAACCGTACCCGGTGGTCTATGGGGCCTGTATCGTCAATAGAAAACACTGATATACATTGTATGTGTAGAAGCTTAAGGCCCCTTGCATTCGAAGCAAATAGCTGTGATCTAAATGTTCATGCTAATGCCCTCCTACTAATAAGAAATTTGGCAATTACATGCTGATGATAAAGTAGATAAATTTACATTACATTAACACAGCTAATGTAGATCTATGTAGAACATGATTTGTGTTTTAACACACATGCTATACCTACAGGTATAAGTGACTGTCATAATATGATAGCACCGACTCTAAAAGGTAATGTCAAACATCAGAGACAAAATAAAATAACTTTAAGAAGCTATCAGAATTTTGATACAGATAAATTCAACCTAGATGTACCAAATAGTCAGGTACCATCAGCAGATCAAACTTTTTCCACAGAGCATGTAAATGCTGCATATAACCAGTATGAAAAAGATTTCACAAGTTTATTAGATAAACATGCTCCAGTCAAAACAAGACAACCTAGGAAAAAACCTTTGTCATGTATGAACAGTGAACTAAGAAAGGCCTTATACCGTAAACCCATGCTATACACACAATATACAAAGCAACGAAATTAAAAAACATGGGGGAAATTCAGAAAGAAACGAAATTTAGTTACAAGCCTTAAAAAGAAGTCTATGAAAATTTATTTTTTAGAACGTTGCTCTGGTGGTTCAAAAAATGACAATTTCTGGTCAACAATTAAACCTTTTTTTCTCTAAGAAGTGTCATTCTGGAGAACAAAGAGTAGTTTTATTTGAAAACAATCAAATTGTAAATGATACTCAACAGGTATCAGAACATTTTAATGCTTTTTTCTCTACTGTTGCTAATAAAATCGGAAGTGATTTGGTATATGACCCTTCAAATCACCCAAGCATTGTGGAAATACAAAATCACAGTGAGAACATCCACTTTAATTTTCAGAAAATAACATCTGACAAAGTTGAGAAAATTCTCAATAAAACTAATGCAAAAAAAAAGCCACAGGTGTGGACGGTATACCAGTTAAAGTTGTCAAATGTTGTAAATCTGTTGTTTCGCCTCAGCTGACATCATTAATTAATATATCAATAGATACAGGTGTTTTTTCCCCAAATAGATTGAAAGAGGCGCAAGTTACACTGCTACACAAGAAAAATAGCCAGTTGGACAAATCAAATTGTAGACCTGCCAGTGTCCTGCCCATTTTTTCCAATTTTTTTGAAAAGGTTTTTGAGAAACAACTGGGTGAAATTTTGAAAATATTTTTAATCCTTATCTTTGTGATTTCCGTCATGGATGTCAAACCACGTGCACACTAATAGATAGAATTAACTATCAGTGTTTGGGTTTTTTGGGTTTTTTTTATGAACTTATCGCTGAGCGGGAGCACTGAAGCATTTTATATCGACAGCCTTTAGTGTACAGTGTCAATATAGCTGCTGTATCCAATATACCTTTATAGCTGAACTGTGTTGTATGTTGTTGAGAACAGCGGAGCAGCGTGATATCCAATCATGAATAAACTCTAGTGTGCTGTGTAGACTGCTTGATCCATACCCAAAATATCTATCTAAGATACATTCTAGATCAGTGTATCCTCCGCTATGGCAACCATGTCAGCTGTCAGAACGCGCACCTCTAATAGAAACAAAAAGCCGCCTATACCGTACTCTCCCTCAGTTAACAGAACGAAGGCCAGATCAATCAGTGCAAACTATGACCTGAATGTGAAGAAAGCACTCAACAATAAGATTCAAGCCTCGGAGAGGCAGGTGGAAAAGGTTGAGATGAAAAGGGGAGACCACCTAGTAATTACACTCTCAGCTGCCATGTTTGAAGCTACAAGGCATGTCATCAAAAACCTGGACCGACACCTACCGAAACACAATCTGAAGGTCGTGATCTTCAACACAGAGGAAAACAAGCACATTTCAGTAAAGGAATCTATATCCATCCAAGACAAAAAAACATCACAACAACTTTATAGAATAAACCTCCATCTAACAACTTCCGTGATCAGTGTGAACGGCTCCAAAACGCGACTATTCATTGAAGAACACCTACCAAACCTGATGAACACTGTCTGCTCTCTCGGGAATTTTGAGGAAGCAAATGTCTACATTAAGGAACAATGTGCTCAAATGATGAACAACCTAGGGCAAGGTAGAGAAAAGAAAACGAGAGGAAGATCAACTGAGATACCAATATCTGGTGTCAAACAACTAATAGACAACACCGACAGCCAGATGTCAAACGGATGTCTACTCGCAGCACCCAGTGCCACCCAAGGGCAACTATCTGGCGATGATCGTAGGCAGGCCACACCCAACCAGCTTGAACCTACTCATACACAAGCGGGGATGGAGCTTACGACTATACCCAGCTCTACTATTGGCAAACCCTATCAAAACAAGGAACAAATCGTCCCTTTCACACAAATCGAGGAACAGCCTAACTTCACTGATAGCGACAACGAAACCGACCCGAAGGTACTCATAGCTGCAGGCAATACCCCGATCAAGAATGCAACCTGTCCACACTGTAATGAATTCTGCACAGAACTTTCACTGATGTGCGACGACTGTCTCCAATGGTTCCACTATAGTTGTGAAGGGCTATCACCAAAAGAAATTAGAGAATTGGAAAACACTAATCGTCAATATACTTGCAAGAGCTGCCACCACTCGGTATTTTCACTTGTATCCAACGAATCAAGACCTCTTGAAACAGTCCAGAGCGATGACGATAACGATCCACCGACGATCACTACCGACAACAACGACAGCAATGCCGCTACAACTTATGATGACCACCTCACACTCGTAGACCAAGCGACTAACACAGACAATCCATTTCACTGTGACATTGAGGAGCTGCGCACCCAAAAACTGGAACTGTACAGAAGAGAAAAATCCATCAAGGAAAAGGAAGCCAGACTCAAAGTAAAAGAGAGTAAGATAGCAGACCTGTCAAAACAGTTGGCATCATCTAAGGCATACGCCCTTAGTCTGGAGGAGCAGATTGCTGAACTGAGGACATCCTTGCAACTGAAAAGCACTACAGGAGCCCAGGAACTTCCTGGAAATGTGAGCAGCATGCAAGACATACTCAGCGACAAATACTTAAAGTCGAGAATGCAGAAAATGGAGTCAGGATTACTATCTATGAGAGTGGACATGCTCGAAAACAGAATGAATAGTATGATGGGGATGTTAGATACACCAATGGAAATGAAAACTAAACAGCTGCATAACACCAATGCTGGACTCCAGGACAGCACAACCAAGGACAGCACAACCCAGTCAACTAATATACAACCACACAACTCTAATAAGAAAGAATCTAAACAACCAACCTGCGCAAGATCTTAAAAGGACAGCACCACCTGAAATAGCACCACAAGTGGAATCAAGGGACAGTACCCAGATCAGCCATGTGGTTATTGAAGATCATCCTATTACCCACACGGGAGACTGCTCTCCAACGAAACTAAGAGCTCGACAGAACCAGAATGACTCCCCTATGCATTACTCTATTCCAGAACAACAAAAACACTCTGGAACCACTAATAATGAACAGAACCATTTTTTAGGATGGGGCCAAAGGAAAGTTGGCAAGAAGAAGAAACAGAGGCACCACCCAAAACCTACAACCATACCACTCAAACATCAAGCTGTGACCAACCAAACATCTTTAATGATGCCACATTACCCTCTGGCAATATACTTAAAGTCGAGAAACCCAGCTCCTCTGCAGCCTCGACAAATAGGTCATCCAGTGTACTACGCAACATCAAACTGGCCACATTTAATGTCGAAAACGTCATTACAAACCAGATATTTCTAGAATCACTTCTGAAGACGTCTGACATCGTTTGGCTGCAGGAGCACTGGCTATTCACATTCGAACAGGAGAAGCTAACAAGACTTGCTGATGAGAATGGATTCTCGTGCACGATCAAATGCAGTGACGGCGAAGACCCTATATCCCCCAAAGCGAGGCCGAGGGGCATTGGCGGTGTGGCACTCTTATGGAGAAAAGACCTAGATCCTCATATCACAACTCTGATGGAAGGGGGTACGCGCATTTGCGCAATACAGCTGTCAGCGACCAACAGAGATTTGATCATAATTAACTCATATCTCCCATGTCGAGGGCGCAGCGCAGAAGACAACTTTCAAGACTCCATGACTCAGCTGCACGAGATGATACAAAAATACTCACCTATTTCAGATATTATAGCCATGGGAGACTTCAATGCTTCTCTACATAGGCAACCTCCAAGCTCACGGGATAGGAAATTTAGAGACATGATCCAGAACATGGGATTGATAACTGAACCAACATACCCAACAACTAAGACGTTCCTTCACTACACAGGTCATTCATCGTTGATTGACTATATACTACGGACACCATCAGCACCTGGGCTCGAAATCCAAGTCTGTGACAGAGACCCATTGAATCTCTCCACCCATAGTCCGGTTACTGGAGCAACAGCAATCAATCTACCTGTAATTTCAAAGAGCCGATCGAATCCATCAGATCATCCGACCTCCCATAGAACAAGAGTCAACTGGAAGAAGGCCAACATACACAACTATCAACAGTCTATCTCGGTAAAACTGAACCAACTTGACACCAATGGAATGGACACACAGG